GCTATTATGGGGGCAGAGGGAATTTGTCATCTTCTGAAGACTCTTGTTATCTTTGTCTTCTGTAAGTTATAAACTGATGTATCACGCTTCATGCTCATTTGTTGAAGCCGACGGGGATTCTAGGTAAGATCAGGAGACTCAGAGCAACCTGTGTGGATGTTTGATCTGACCTCTGGACCATTTGGTCTGAGTCAGTGATTTGTTTGATTGCGTAGCATTGTGTCCTGATGGTGTGGATCGTTGCTGTAATATCACTGGTTTGTTTGATTGCCTAGCATTGTGTCCTGATGGTGTGGATCGTTGCTGTACTATCACTGGTTTGTTTGATTGCGTAGCATTGTGTCCTGATGGTGTGGATCGTTGCTGTAATATCACTGGTTTGTTTGATTGCGTAGCATTGTGTCCTGATGGTGTGGATTGTTGCTGTAATATCACTGGTTTGTTTGATTGCGTAGCATTGTGTCCTGATGGTAAGGATCGTTGCTGTAATATCACTGGTTTGTTTGATTGCCTAGCATTGTGTCCTGATGGTGTGGATCGTTGCTGTAATATCACTGGTTTGTTTGATTGCGTAGCATTGTGTCCTGATGGTGTGGATCGTTGCTGTAATATCACTGGTTTGTTTGATTGCCTAGCATTGTGTCCTGATGGTGTGGATGGTTGCTGTAATATCACTGGTTTGTTTGATTGCCTAGCATTGTGTCCTGATGGTGTGGATCGTTGCTGTAATATCACTGGTTTGTTTGATTGCCTAGCATTGTGTCCTGATGGTGTGGATTGTTGCTGTAATATCACTGGTTTGTTTGATTGCGTAGCATTGTGTCCTGATGGTGTGGATCGTTGCTGTAATATCACTGGTTTGTTTGATTGCGTAGCATTGTGTCCTGATGGTGTGGATCGTTGCTGTAATATCACTGGTTTGTTTGATTGCGTAGCATTGTGTCCTGATGGTGTGGATTGTTGCTGTAATATCACTGGTTTGTTTGATTGCGTAGCATTGTGTCCTGATGGTGTGGATCGTTGCTGTAATATCACTGGTTTGTTTGATTGCGTAGCATTGTGTCCTGATGGTGTGGATCGTTGCTGTAATATCACTGGTTTGTTTGATTGCGTAGCATTGTGTCCTGATGGTGTGGATCGTTGCTGTAATATCACTGGTTTGTTTGATTGCGTAGCATTGTGTCCTGATGGTGTGGATCGTTGCTGTAATATCACTGGTTTGTTTGATTGCGTAGCATTGTGTCCTGATGGTGTGGATCGTTGCTGTAATATCACTGGTTTGTTTGATTGCGTAGCATTGTGTCCTGATGGTGTGGATCGTTGCTGTAATATCACTGGTTTGTTTGATTGCGTAGCATTGTGTCCTGATGGTGTGGATCGTTGCTGTAATATCACTGGTTTGTTTGATTGCGTAGCATTGTGTCCTGATGGTGTGGATTGTTGCTGTAATATCACTGGTTTGTTTGATTGCGTAGCATTGTGTCCTGATGGTGTGGATTGTTGCTGTAATATCACTGGTTTGTTTGATTGCGTAGCATTGTGTCCTGATGGTGTGGATTGTTGCTGTAATATCACTGGTTTGTTTGATTGCCTAGCATTGTGTCCTGATGGTGTGGATCGTTGCTGTAATATCACTGGTTTGTTTGATTGCGTAGCATTGTGTCCTGATGGTGTGGATCGTTGCTGTAATATCACTGGTTTGTTTGATTGCCTAGCATTGTGTCCTGATGGTGTGGATCGTTGCTGTAATATCACTGGTTTGTTTGATTGCGTAGCATTGTGTCCTGATGGTGTGGATCGTTGCTGTAATATCACTGGTTTGTTTGATTGCGTAGCATTGTGTCCTGATGGTGTGGATTGTTGCTGTAATATCACTGGTTTGTTTGATTGCCTAGCATTGTGTCCTGATGGTGTGGATCGTTGCTGTAATATCACTGGTTTGTTTGATTGCCTAGCATTGTGTCCTGATGGTGTGGATTGTTGCTGTAATATCACTGGTTTGTTTGATTGCCTAGCATTGTGTCCTGATGGTGTGGATTGTTGCTGTAATATCACTGGTTTGTTTGATTGCGTAGCATTGTGTCCTGATGGTGTGGATCGTTGCTGTAATATCACTGGTTTGTTTGATTGCCTAGCATTGTGTCCTGATGGTGTGGATCGTTGCTGTAATATCACTGGTTTGTTTGATTGCCTAGCATTGTGTCCTGATGGTGTGGATCGTTGCTGTAATATCACTGGTTTGTTTGATTGCGTAGCATTGTGTCCTGATGGTGTGGATCGTTGCTGTAATATCACTGGTTTGTTTGATTGCGTAGCATTGTGTCCTGATGGTGTGGATCGTTGCTGTAATATCACTGGTTTGTTTGATTGCGTAGCATTGTGTCCTGATGGTGTGGATCGTTGCTGTAATATCACTGGTTTGTTTGATTGCGTAGCATTGTGTCCTGATGGTAAGGATCGTTGCTGTAATATCACTGGTTTGTTTGATTGCCTAGCATTGTGTCCTGATGGTGTGGATCGTTGCTGTAATATCACTGGTTTGTTTGATTGCGTAGCATTGTGTCCTGATGGTGTGGATTGTTGCTGTAATATCACTGGTTTGTTTGATTGCGTAGCATTGTGTCCTGATGGTGTGGATCGTTGCTGTAATATCACTGGTTTGTTTGATTGCGTAGCATTGTGTCCTGATGGTGTGGATCGTTGCTGTAATATCACTGGTTTGTTTGATTGCGTAGCATTGTGTCCTGATGGTAAGGATCGTTGCTGTACTATCACTGGTTTGTTTGATTGCCTAGCATTGTGTCCTGATGGTAAGGATCGTTGCTGTAATATCACTGGTTTGTTTGATTGCCTAGCATTGTGTCCTGATGGTGTGGATCGTTGCTGTAATATCACTGGTTTGTTTGATTGCGTAGCATTGTGTCCTGATGGTGTGGATTGTTGCTGTAATATCACTGGTTTGTTTGATTGCGTAGCATTGTGTCCTGATGGTGTGGATGGTTGCTGTAATATCACTGGTTTGTTTGATTGCGTAGCATTGTGTCCTGATGGTGTGGATCGTTGCTGTAATATCACTGGTTTGTTTGATTGCCTAGCATTGTGTCCTGATGGTGTGGATCGTTGCTGTAATATCACTGGTTTGTTTGGTCCAGACTCCATTATTTACAGGCATCTGTACAATAGCTGGAATATTGCAAAGTCAGACATTAAACGGCAATCAAAAGCCCAGTTGATTAACTTTTTTGTCATCGTTGTGAGATCATTCGTGTTTTCTCAGTTGAATGTTGGTAAGGCGTCAGCTGCCGGAGCCTCATCCCCCCTCTGGGGAGCAGAGGCGGTCGGGTAGCCTAGTGGTTAAAGCGTTCGCTCGTCACGCCGAAGACCCGGGTTCGATTCCCGACATGGGTACAATGTGTGAAGCCCATTTCTGGTGTCCTCGCCGTGATATTGCTGGAATATTGCTAAAAGCGGCGTAAAACCATACTCACTCACTCACTCTGGGGAGCAGGACTCCATGATGTGATGGGGACGCTTCACCATCGGCCATTACAGAACTATGTACCACTGATAACCATTGCCATTTGCTTCAACAAGACAATATTTCTATAGAATTATGTCATCTTGATCTTGGATGAAGCGTGATCATGTGTAAATGGAGAATTGAGAATGCTGAATAGCAGATCCAACATTGGCTCAAAAATAACGGTGATCATAGCAGGGTGTAATTTCATGTTTTGTGCTCCCCTGCATCAAGTGCAGACTGCAGTTAGCAACAGACTTCACAACAGATAAACTGGCTGCACGACTTTATTGGACATTTGATACAAAAAAATCTCAAGCTGTGTTTTGATATTAGACTAATCAGTGACTGCAGAGCTCCAGATAAGCTGCGTATCTGCGTGAAATACGCATCAGAAATGCAGAAATACACAGTCAAATATAATCTAAGCGTATCAAATACGCAATGAACATTACAGATACGCTACAAAAATCAAACTTGTGCTTATCATCAAAATATTGTGAAGTAACCCTGCGTATTCCATTAGCAAATCAGCAACTTATTTTGAAATTATAACGGGCATTCCGTCAACCTTGCCAAACTCCACGATGACAGTTACATCATGATCATTTGCCATCACACTTTCTTGTGGAAGTATCGTGGTATTTTTTAGTCCTATAAAGCTCTCGAACCCACACGACACCAGTTTGTAGGGACTAGATGAATAGTGTTTTTAAATATTTAACTTAAATACCCACATGTGTAAAAACTAGTGGGTAACAGAAATTTGAATACGCAGATAGAATAACTGATACCCAATGATTTTAAAATGCATGGGTAAAATACCCACAACACCAAAAGCTTATCTGGAGCTCTGGTGACTGTGTCTGGGACAGGCACATTTCGACTTCAACATTTCTGTAATACAAGGGGTACATAGAGAATCTCACCCCAGTGTCTTGATATCAAATATATCAACACGAGTTGATAAAAGTGGAAAAATTCCCAGGCTTGCCGAGGATTTTTGCCACTTTTATCAACGAGTGTTGATATATTTGGTATCAAAAGACACGAGGGTGAGATTTTATTTATCATCCAACATCATTCTTCCAACTTTTTCAATTTATAGACAGTAATTAGCAGTGTCTTCAGTGTAAAAAGTACTGCTAACAGCTTCAGTAGCAGAGCCATTAGTGATGTCATTTGATTGTGATGTCATGGTCACCAGTGATGTCGCAATGGTCTGCAAAGCATTGTGATGTAATTTCATTGCAGCGATATCTACAGTGTAGATATAGCTTGATCTAATCCAAGCGATATCTCCTGTTGGAGCCAGTTTGGGATGATAACTGATAATAATCACCTCATAATAGTTACCATTTTAACATTAAGCACGTTGTAGTGTCCCCTGGTGTTGTTTGGTTAGAGTGCTACTAAATGTTACGTCAAACTCTCCACTTTCTTGGTTAGATGTATCTATATATTGTTTCTTCTGCTTCAGGAAATCCCTTGACAATAACAAGAATCAGACGAGACGGACACTCCAGTCCTTCAACCCTAAGTATCTGTGGCTGAGAATTGCTATCTTTGAGAAACAGCTGGCCAAGATTCTTGACTACCTGGTACAAAATCACAGGTAAGTCAACAATCCCTTCAGTGGAGGGACTGCATCACTTCAGACGTTGCTCCCACGGTAGTCTGACATACTGTGGTATGGCTTAAGTAATGTTCAAACTATGTTAATCCCATCTCACAACACAAGTTAGGCGAACCAGATCCTCATCAATCTGTGACAAGATTTCGTATATGTATGTCCTCCAGCCCTTTATTGTCTTGGCCATTGCTCCCCAGGTCTTGTTACAGTGATCCGTCAGTGTTGAAATCAGTGGCAAGTCACGGGAGGTAGGCTGTAATACTGAGTGACATGTGCCTTGTGTTCCTAAGCTTTGAAACTTAGAACTTGTTTGTAAATAAGACTGGAGGTCAAACTGTTCAAGTCGTTGTTTACCTTTGCACCTATTGACATGAAGACACCACAATACTTAGCGTGTGTATTTGGGGAACCCTGCAAAGAAACTTTTGTAATATAGGGCACAAGCTTAACATCCTTGGAGGTCTTGTTCAAGGTTATTGAAGGTCACATTTGTTATTCTCTGGTACTTTTAGATGGGATGCAGGTACGATTTCATTCTGTTTTACCACCTGCATCAGTAAATTAATCAGGTTGCACCACCAAAATAGTTGCACCAATTTAGCATGAATTGAAACACTGTATTTTCAGCTATTTTTAATATTAAATAATTTTAAAGAGAACATAAATTTGAGATTGTGCTCCAGTATATTATTTGGGGTAAATCTGTATGAGGCTTTTCACATTATGATACTGGGTATCCAGCAAACAACCTTAAAAAGAAGTTTCAAAGTGTCCGTTTGTTCTGATTGTAACCTCATGAGTGACTGTCCTGGTAGTAATTGTGAAGAACTAGTTCTGCAAGTACACTGCATTCAGACCACCTGTGTGTTTCACTAATTTCCTGAACTTATGTTTCCTTGATTTGAAAAGATTTGCAGCATTTCAAAAGAATTTCCACTTTTTCCACTTTTATCAAATATAACTGCTGCCGTGCACTTGAGGTGGGAAATATTTCCTGCAGTGGGTGCAACCTGGCAATAAAAGTTGCCTGCACTAGCAATATTTCATCTGCACTGGTGCAGCTTGGATATAGTGAAATTGATCCCTGGGATGGATTGGGTAGGGAAAGGGGGTGGTGGTCTGTCTGAGAGTTGTAGACAGGTCAGCCTAATTAAAATCAGATCTTAGTTCTTGCTACCGCCAAACAAAGATCTGAGAACATACCATTATGGGTCACGTCAGAATGACCTTTCATCCGACCAATCAGAGTGTCAGGAAAGTGACGGTCGGAATGTATTTTCTAATCATGCAACATCAAAACGTTTAACACAGGGTTTTCCGAACAACAAAATCTGTCAATATCCACGTCTGTCTCTTGCTTCAGTGGGATCAACATTTGAACGGGAGACATTTTGCATTGCCCATGGAAAGTGATGTCATACAAAGTTTGTCATTCCAGAATGACCTTTTTTTCAGTTTTCAAATTGAGGATTGAGAATTGAGAATTTGTCAAAATATGTTTCAAAGCAAAGGTGCCATTTGAAACTAGTGTCATATGGGTAGGATAAAACACGTCAGAGGGTTTTTGTGCGATTTAAAACCCAAATCCAAGGGATAAAACCGAGGGGCGTCAGATTTTTAAATCTCATATATAACCCGAGGGTAAGTGTTTTATCTAACTTACAAACCAAAAAAAAGAAACTTAAAATGTTTATCAACATTTTTATGTTCCAAACATACTTTCCATGAACCTTAGGAAACAGGTGTAAAATATCTGTTACTGGTGTACAGTTAATTGAAAAAGACATTTGTCATTTGATTTTACATTTCATTACATTCTGTTCTAGCAAAATATATTTCAAGCGAGAAACGTTCAAATGTTTCAATATAAACAGAAGTTGTATTAATAAAATCCCATACAACAATCACACCGAATGTATACAAGTTTGTAATACATCATGTACATGACAATTACATCAACGGTTCTCAATAAGACAATAATATAACATCCATTATGAATAAAAACAGATAGTACTTTGATTAGAATTAATACATTTTTCAATATAGTAACAAGAGTGTTATTCTTGTTTGATCTGTCCCCAGATCTTTGTTTTGCAGTAGCAAGAACTAAAATCAGATATAATGAGATTGGTAGGGGTTTCATATGGACATGCTCAGAGCCCAATATTTGGTCCCAAGTCTGAAGCAAATGTCAGCAAAAATTCCAAAATTGGAATTGAGATTTGGTACCAGCTAATGTTTATCACTGATAACAGGACCAGTAAACAGGAAGAGTCTGTGAAGTTTTGTTTTACATGTTCCATTGAATGAAATATAAAATTACCCCGGACTTTAAGAAAATACAGATTTTTAGTTTGGAAATCCTTGATAAAGCCCTATATGGCTATTAGTTTCTTATCAATGTATCTTCACTTTATAGCATTTGGAGGGGCGGTCGGGTAGCCTAGTGGTTAAAGCGTTCGTTCCTCACGCCGAAGACCGGGTTTGATTCCCAACATGGGAACAATGTGTGAAGCCCATTTCTGGTGTCCCTCGCCGTGATATTGCTGGAATATTGCTTAAAGCGGCGTAAAACCATACTCACTCACTCACTCACTCATAGCATTTGGCGATTTCGTGAAAGTGAACAACTGGCTGACCTACTTTAGTTTATGTTTGGAGAAATATCAGTGAAGATCCTGTAATGCAGACCATTTCAAACACATGTGTAACTCTCTTCGGAGATTAAACAGAAAGTAAACTCTTCTCAGCATGATTGAACTTCTGACAAATAAGCTAAGACAATTTCCTGTTGACCTTGCTTTCAAGGAGTGTTTGTATTGTGTGTTTCAGTCGCTACTATGAAGGGGACGCTCTCATTGCCGACCCTGTCGACGGACCAATCTTTGCATCGTTACTTGGTAAGTCCCTGCTGAAAGCGGAAATTGTTCTTGGTTCCTAGTGTGTGTCGTGTGAAATGATTAATGGTGAGTAGGTTGGTTGCATTGAACATGGATGGTTGGCTGCCCTTGGGTAGGAAGATACCTCACCAATATGGGGAGTAGGTTGGCTGCATTGAACATGGATGGTTGGCTGCCCTTGGGTAGGAAGATACCTCACCAATATGGGGAGTAGGGGGGCACAATGGCTGCATTGAACAGGATGGTTGGCTGCCATTGGGTGGGAAGATACCTCACCAATATGGGGAGTAGGTTGGCTGCATTGAACATGGATGGTTGGCTGCCATTGGGTGGGAAGATACCTCACCAATATGGGGAGTAGGTTGGCTGCATTGAACATGGATGGTTGGTTGCCCTTGGGTAGGAAGATACCTCACCAATATGGGGAGTAGGGGGGCACAATGGCTGCATTGAACATGGATGGTTGGCTGCCCTTGGGTAGGAAGATACCTCACCAATATGGGGAGTAGGGGGGCACAATGGCTGCATTGAACATGGATGGTTGGCTGCCATTGGGTGGGAAGATACCTCACCAATATGGGGAGTAGGTTGGCTGCATTGAACATGGATGGTTGGCCGCCCTTGGGTAGGAAGATACCTCACCAATATGGGGAGTAGGGGGGCACAATGGCTGCATTGAACATGGATGCTTGGCTGCCCTTGGGTTGGGAGATACCTCACCAATATGGGGAGTAGGTTGGCTGCATTGAACATGGATGGTTGGCTGCCCTTGGGTGGGAAGACGTCCAGGTGGGCACAATTGCTGGAGGGTAGATTTTGCTTGTTGGTGTGACCAAATAAGATTGTCAATGACCAAATTTTAATGTGTGTAGTTTGATTTCATGTGGTATCAATGGATATTTCATTATACAGGAGAAATATTTGGTTGCATGACCAGTGTTTTAAATAATTTTAAAACCCAACAAGACAGTTGGGCAGGTGACCCATAAATGTTGCCTCCCCATCTGCAAAGTTACCTCCCCGGATTCAGACATTATAAATATTGAAAAGTCACGAAAAGTAAGAGACAAATCGTATCGAGATTCAGTAGAAATAATGCAAACAATTACTTGAGAATATACAAGGAGTTATAATAATGCTGAATATGTAAGTAGTCTTAAAATCATCTGCCAGACAGTCGGACAGGTGGAGGAAAATTTCATGCCGCCCGACAGTAAAGTTACCAGCTATTGGCAGGCAGTTATTGCCGACACTGTTCATGACATCAGTTGAGATTTAGTGCAATAATCTTGAACACGACATTAAACCCAGTTTCACCTCCCTCCCCGTTTCCAGTTGGTCCGTGTGCCCTTGACTACACCAAGATGAAGACGTCCGACCACTTCTGGACGGACCCCCCGGCAGATGAGCTGGTTCAGCGTCACCGCATCCACTCCAGCGGCAACCATGCATTCACCTCGCCCGGGTCTCCAAAACGACCAGGACTGCAGGTATTAAGTTTGAAGGAGAATTGTTTCCAATTAAATACAGGCGATGACAAGAAAACTGACAAGAATCTCTTTTGATAAAGTAAAAGACATAAAGAAGTATCCATGGCTCTTTTCATACTCTGTCATAGACTGACTGACATAACATAAATACATCGTAACATAAGTACCCTATCATGCACTTACGCCAGTCTTAGTGCTAAGATTGTAACTTTAATGCTCTATCATAGATTTACGGCAGATAAAGTAACTTGTTGCCCATTTCAACAAATCCATTTCAGCGCTAAAATTGTAAATTTTATGCTTTTGGTTTTGTGTTATTATAACTGATTTATACTTAAATATTTCAATTTTAACGTGATGTATATAACACTGAGTTGTGTTGAACCTGATCCCTAAGTGTGAATCTGTGCTATGCTTGTTTCCTGCTGGTTCTGGTCAGCTACTAATCTACCAACAGTGTCTGTCTGTGTGTCCCCAGCTGCGGCGGAACCCCAGCTCCAGCAGTGAGGACAGCCCGAAGGCGTTCCACATGTCGGCCAGGGAATACGTGGAGTCACTGCACCAGAACTCCAAGACCACACTGCTGTATGGCAAGAACAACGTGCAGGTGCAGCCGGTACGTCCCACGGATCAACTCTCACTCGATTGTGCAGTGTATAATGCCTCCATTCTGTACTGTTAATCAAACATGCATGTCTGTCAAAGGGAACATGTTACTCTTTACACAATGCATCATGTGAGCTCCAGGCACAAATGATGTGATGGTTCGTTGTTGGTTCCAGAAGGAGGACATTGGCCACCTGGCTGGGCACCTGTCTCTACACCAGATAGACTCTGATATGTTGGTTTGTTGGTTTAAGAAGGAGGACATTGGCCACTTGTCTAGACTCTGATGTGTTGGTTCGTTGTTGGTTTCAGAAGGAGGGCATTGGCCACTTGTCTAGACTCTGATGTGTTGGTTCGTTTTTGGTTCCAGAAGGAGGACATTGGCCACTTGTCTAGACTCTGATGTGTTGGTTCGTTGTTGGTTTCGGAAGGAGGGCATTGGCCACTTGTCTAGACTCTGATGTGTTGGTTCGTTTTTGGTTTCAGAAGGAGGACATTGGCCACTTGTCTAGACTCTTATGTGTTGGTTCGTTGTTGGTTTCAGAAGGAGGGCATTGGCCACTTGTCTAGACTCTGATGTGTTGGTTCGTTGTTGGTTTCAGAAGGAAGACATTGGCCACTTGTCTAGACTCTGATGTGTTGGTTCGTTGTTGGTTTCAGAAGGAGGGCATTGGCCACTTGTCTAGACTCTGATGTGTTGGTTCGTTGTTGGTTTCAGAAGGAGGGCATTGGCCACTTGTCTAGACTCTGATGTGTTGGTTGGTTGTTGGTTTCAGAAGGAGGGCATTGGCCACTTGTCTAGACTCTGATGTGTTGGTTGGTTGTTGGTTTCAGAAGGAGGGCATTGGCCACTTGTCTAGACTCTGATGTGTTGGTTCGTTGTTGGTTTCAGAAGGAAGACATTGGCCACTTGTCTAGACTCTGATGAGTTGGTTTGTTGGTTCCAGAAGGAGGACATTGGTCACCTGGCCGGGTACCTGTCTCTACACCAGATAGACTCTGATATGTTGGTTTGTTGGTTTCAGAAGGAGGACATTGGTCACCTGGCTAGGTACCTGTCTCTACACCAGATAGACTCTGATATGTTGGTTTGTTGGTTTGTTGGTTCCAGAAGGAGGACATTGGCCACCTTGCTGGGTACCTGTCTCTACACCAGATAGACTCTGATATGTTGGTTTGTTGTTGGTTCCAGAAAGAGGACATTGGTCACCCGGCTGGGTACCTGTCTCTACACCAGATAGACTCTGATGTGTTGGTTTGTTGTTGGTTTGTTGTTGGTTTCAGAAGGAGGACGTTGGCCACCTTGCTGGGTACCTGTCTCTACACCAGATAGACACTGATATGTTGGTTTGTTGTTGGTTTCAGAAGGAGGACATTGGTCACCCGGCTAGGTACCTGTCTCTACACCAGATAGACTCTGATATGTTGGTTTGTTGATTCCAGGAAGACATTGGTCACCTGGCTAGGTACCTGTCTCTACATCAGATAGACTCTGATATGTTGGTTTGTTGTTGGTTTCAGAAGGAGGACATTGGTCACCTGGCTAGGTACCTGTCTCTACACCAGATAGACTCTGATATGTTGGTTTGTTGTTGGTTTCAGAAGGAGGACATTGGTCACCTGGCTAGGTACCTGTCTCTACACCAGATAGACTCTGATATGTTGGTTTGTTGATTCGAGAAGGAGGACATTGGTCACCTCGCTGGGTACCTGTCTCTACACCAGATAGACTCTGATATGTTGGTTTGTTGGTTTCAGAAGGAGGACATTGGTCACCTGGCTAGGTACCTGTCTCTACACCAGATAGACTCTGATATGTTGGTTTGTTGGTTTCAGAAGAAGGACATTGGTCACCTCACTGGGTACCTGTCTCTACACCAGATAGACTCTGATATGTTGGTTTGTTGGTTTCAGAAGGAGGACATTGGTCACCTTGCCGGGTACCTGTCTCTTCACCAGAGTGGGGAGGGCCTCATGATCATGTGGACACCTAACCAGCTCATGAACGGATGCTGTGATGAAGTTGGGGAGGAAACAGACCGCAGGTAGGTCATATGACCCGTGTAGTCACATGATCCTAGATCACTTGACCCCCCAGGTCGCATTACAAGGTCACATGATCATTTAGGTCAGGGTTATCAACTAGGTCACATGATCACCTAGGTCACATGATCAACTCGGTCACATGATTATCTAGGTTACATGACCAGCGAGGCCATATGTTCTGCGAGGTAAGTATATAATGTAACCTCCAAGGACCCCTGAATGTCGCTTGATTAACTAGGACATATAGCCTTCCTCAGGAGTGCTTCAACATCCACCATGAGAGTAGTGATTCCAATAATTAAGATAAGATTAAGATAATCATAACAGCTGTACAGAAGACCCACTTGCATGAGTCATGGTACCAGCAACTCTGTGTCTGTGACTTAGTTGATTGTGTGTCATCGTCAAGGTGACATTGTGACATTGCTCATATCAATCACTGGATTGTGTGGTCCAGACTTTGTTATTTGCAGGCTGCTGTGGTTATGGCTGGAATATTGCTGATTGCAGTGTTAAACTACAAACAACGAAACAATATGTAACATGATTTAATGCTTGTTGGCTCCCTTATCGGCTTCTGTTGTATCGGAGCAACACACGGACAAACACATTTCAGATATACTTTCTGTTGTTTTGTACAGCTGTTGTTTGCTCTGTGTTGTTCCTTACTTTGATCTGTTGTTTATTTCCCTTTCTTCAAGGTTGATAAAACTCGTAAGAATTGGTTTCCTTGATTCATTGTGTAGAGTGCTGTAGAGGTGTGAGAGCAAGGGCAGCAGACTAGACTAACCCATGATAGGCATAACTAACATAGTCCCGGTGATAGATATATAGACCTGGTGGTTGATGTGTGGACCTGGTGGTAGATATATAGACCTGGGGGTTGATGTGTGGACCTGGTGATAGATATGTGGACCTGGTGGTTGATGTGTGGACCTGGTGATAGATATGTGGACCTGGTGGTTGATGTGTGGACCTGGTGGTAGATATATAGACCTGGTGGTTGATGTGTGGACCTGGTGGTAGATGTATAGACCTGGGGGTTGATGTGTGGACCCGGTGATAGATATGTGGACCTGGTGGTTGATGTGTGGACCTGGTGATAGATATGTGGACCTGGTGGTTGATGTGTGGACCTGGTGGTAGATATATAGACCTGGTGGTTGATGTGTGGACCTGGTGGTAGATATATAGACCTGGTGGTTGATGTGTGGACCCGGTGATAGATATGTGGACCTGGTGGTTGATGTGTGGACCTGGTGATAGATATGTGGACCTGGTGGTTGATGTGTGGACCTGGTGGTAGATATATAGACCTGGTGGTTGATGTGTGGACCTGGTGGTAGATATATAGACCTGGAAGTTGATTTGTGGACCTGGAGGCTGAGGATTGTCAAGGGGTTGCATTAGTTGGTGCTTACAGGTCTGGTTACGATCATCTTCCCAAGGCAAGGGAGATAAATCACTCTAAAAGTCCATTTTGCACCCTTCCCGAACTAGGCTGGTATTATGGAGTTACGTTTCGGCTGGACTAACGAGTCTATGCATAGTCCAATCGTGCATAGTCGTGCAGATTTCAGGCGATTGCAGTATCTGCAAATCTTTTGCAACGCCAACTCGTTGTCAACAGATATTTTCCAAATCTTTTCATGTTTTCAAACAAGGTGCTCACGTGATTTGACACACCTCGCGTTGTAAGACATGTTTTATCACAATATAGATCATGATTATTGATCAGATCGTCTTGACTGGGCGCCGCCATTCACTTTGAAGCAAATGCAAGTGATATGAGAGATGGAATCTGATTGGTCCATAGGAGAGGCATAGAAGGGACATAACTCGTAATAGCCACTGGTGGCTCTACGATCCAGGAATACCCGCCTAGTTCGGCAAGGGTGGAAACTGGACTTTTAAAGTCAGTTAACTCTCTTGCCTCGGGAAGATGGGTTATGATAGAAATACTGATATTATTCTTTTGAATGAAAGGGATGATAATATATTATATGCCAGTGCAATCTAAAATTTTGATTCACAGTTAACATGTTCATCCTTGCTGCTACTTCTAGCATCATCCCTAGCCCTGTAAGCTATATACGTTCATCATATTCTGTGTGTCTTACCTTTTCAATAGAAAATCTGTTTAGTCAATAAAGTGCTGTCTGTAAAAAGAAACTGATTGATGCAACTATTCTAAGAACCTGCCTTTTTTATTTCTGCTTTGTTGTTTACTTTTGCTATTTTTGTTTTCTGGTGCTACCTGTGTGAATACTCAATTGGTAACCATGGTAACAATCACAGCCAGTTATTGCGACGGAGAGCCAGTCCTAAGCTGTGAGTAGGTCTTGCAGGAGTCACGTCCCTGATACTCTCGAACCATCTTCCTGTCGAGGATGGTGCGTCTGCATCATATATACTATATCCATACTCACCTTCCTTGCCAGTGTAGGAGGGTTTGGCCTGCATCATATATATCCTATAACCCTTCACACCTTGCCAGTGCTCTTTGCTAATAGAAAATGATTTGTTTGCCCATATATCTGCTGACGACTCCCTCCCCCCCCAAAAAATGATTCATTTTTAGATCCATTTCTTGAACCAAATTATTTCTTTAACCTGATTTGGAAATTGTGAGCAGAATCTCTAACAAATTGTTGATTGTAAGTTGACAAATGTTATATTGGGATAACACTTTCTCAGATTCTCATACCTTTTTGGGTTGAGCCTCGGTGGCTGAGTGGCTTCGATCGCTGACTTTGTGTGCTGGTACCTCACTCTGGCAGTGAACCGCCTCCGTGGTCTAGTGGTAGAGCGTCCGCCCGGAGACCGCCTCCGTGGTCTAGTGGTAGAGCGTCTGCCTGGAGAGCGGAAGGTCCAGGGTTCGATCCCGGGCCGCGTCATACAAAAAGACGTTAAAAGATTGTACTTGTTGTTACCCTGTCTGGCGCTCGGCATTAAGGGGCTAAAACAAGGACTGGTCGGCTCGGAGTCAGTATACTGTGTCTGAGTGGGGTATTCATGTTAAACTGCGGCATGGTATCTCAGTGAGCTAGCACTATAAATCGGCATCAGTCCGGACTAGTACAAGCAGCCACACACACACATACACGTGCATGCACGTCGCTATATAAGTGCAATAATCTTGGACGCGACGTTAAACCCAATTTCACCTCACCTCACATCACTCTGGCAGTGTGTTCGAATCCCAGATGAGACACTAGAATCTGTACTTTACAAAGAAAGTGTTATCCCAAATAGAACATTTGTTACATTTGATCACTTTCTAAATGGCATTGTGCGTTCCCAAATTGTTGATTGTCTTTGAGAATTCCTTATCATGACCAATTTGACATGAACCGTGTCTTTTTGTCCACCTTGGTGTTCAGGGTGAGTGTTTGTTAACCTCACACCGTCCTGAAGTGTCCGCTGGAATATGGGCAAGCCAATATGTTTTCCGGGATGGTTCTGTGCTTGAATGTCTGCATGACAGGATATGTGGCCTTGTTTGGGAAAACACCAGCGCATGATTGATAAACATTATCAAACATATATTCACGAAAAAACAACAGCTATCAAATAGCAAATACCTTCTCTATGTTTGATGTAAAATGACAGTTATCAAATAGCAAATGCCTTCTCTATGTTTGATGTAAAATGACAGTTATCAAATAGCAAATACCTCTCTATGTTTGATGTAAAATGACAGTTATCAAATAGCAAATACCTCTCTATGTTTGATGTAAAATGACAGTTATCAAATAGCAAATGCCTCTCTATGTTTGATGTAAAATGACAGTTATCAAATAGCAAATACCTCTCTATGTTTGATGTAAAATGACAGTTATCAAATAGCAAATGCCTCTCTATGTTTGATGTAACATAAAGACACGTAGTAGAAAGATTGAAGGCAGTTGAAGGCATTCAACATGTGTATTGAAGTAAAGGTTGGTGTCCGTGGAAGCCTTCTCGATCTATCAGGCTAATTAAGGTAGCGATAGAAATTGGCAAGTGTCCTCCTGTAGTCCTTGCCAAACTGCCCAATACACTTATGTACTTATGGTGTCAGATGGACTTGTAGAAATTTGACATTTTTAGCGTTTTTTCTATATGTTATCATTATAAGGACTAGTAGACTAAAAATGCTAGTTAAAATCACTGATTTAGGGTTTGGAGACCTTAGCTAAGTCCACTCCTGGTATATATTTACACATTGTGCACACTTTCACCCTCAGGGGTTGTTGGGTAGCCAAGTGGTTGTAGTGTTTGCTGGTCATGCTTGAAGGCCTGGTTTTGATTCCCCACATCGATACAGTGTTGAAGACTATTTCTGGTGTCCCCACCCGTGATATTGATGGAATATTGCTGCATGTGTGTGGTCATGCCCATTCACTCATGTAATTCTCATTAGATATGAGAAGCATGCATCAGATGTGAAAATGCCCCGCTGGGATTCCCCGGTGTGATTGGTCCCGAGCAAGGACTGCTGGCTGTAAGAGGCGTAGTTTCTTGGCCGATGGCATTTCATCAGAGCGGATCATTGCTCATGATATCAATCACTGGTTTGTCCCAATTATTTACAGGCCACAGACGTGTACCTGGAATATTGCCGAATGCTGCATGAAAAAACAAAACAAACAAAATGCCAACTAAAATGACAGTAACCATGGTAACCTTTTTTAATTGTTTCATGATGACTCTTGCATGGAATCCTTATGTGACTACGCAAACTATGAGGGTGTTAAATTTCTCTGAGAGGCATTTAGAAGTTGAAGTACTAAGTAAGGACAACATATATGGAATAACAACTTCTTTAGTATTATTTTGAGCGACGTTTCGGCCAAGGCTGCTTGATAGAACCTACACCGAAATGTTCTCCTAAATGTAATAAAGAAGTTGTTCATCTATATGGCTTTTCCTTAGGCCAAAAAATAATAGCCTTGGTTTAAGCGTTACATATGGGAATGTCACGTTTCACAAAGCACTCATTATTGGCTACACTGTCTTGTGCTGATACACTTAACACTGACTTGTATGAAGCCATGGTAGGCGAGTATGACATTGTCTGTGTGCTCACATCATACCACTACGACCAGTATGAAGCCATGTTAGGCGAGTATGACATTGTCTGTGTGCTCACATCATACCACTACGACCAGTATGAAGCCATGGTAGGCGAGTATGACATTGTCTGTGTGCTCACATCATACCACTACGACCAGTATGAAGCCATGGTAGGCGAGTATGACATTGTCTGTGTGCTCACATCATACCACTACGACCAGTATGAAGCCATGGTAGGCGAGTATGACATTGTCTGTGTGCTCACATCATACCACTACGACCAGTATGAAGCCATGGTAGGCGAGTATGACATTGTCTGTGTGCTCACATCATACCACTACGACCAGTATGCTAGTATGACAATATGAAGTATCCCAATAGTGTCATGTAACAATAGTGGTACTTCCCACGTAAAGTCTGGGAAGTACACCTGCGTCACAGGGCCACGCATGCACGAATACGGTGTTAGCGTTGGGCGTCTCAACATGCGTGATGCCCGTGCACCCTTTCGAGTTGAGTTGATTGGTTCAACTGTGTCATATGGCCCAGTAACGCAGGGGTAGCATTATGCAGATGGCTGTTTCAATGAATGCTCGTTCCACCCGTGACGAACAGGTCTGGTTGTTGATGAAATATAGTGATAGCTAAATAGACAGATTTGTTATTCATGCACCGATTGTCTTTAAATGTAATATCCAGTTATGTATGACTGTTTGATAATCTCATACCAACTTTGACTGGAGTAGGTCCGATAGTTTTTCAGATATTGTAATAAACGTCTGTACCTTAAATTACCTTCCCGACTATAATAATGACCTTCAGTAGCCCAGTGGTTGTGTCTGGTGTGTCCTGGACCAGGTTTGATTCCACACATGGAAGGCATTCTTTGTTTCCGTGCTGAGTGGAATGAATTAATCACCTTGTTAAGTTCTACCCTCGTGCAAAGGAGATATATGAGCACCCAGCACTGTATGGAGTCTTCTGTTGATTCTGTGTCTGTTGACAGTTTCTATTTCTGGGACTAATGATGACATCTGTTTTACTGAATGTGATTGCATGAGTTTTTAATTCTTTTTTTGCCCACGAAAAGCAAGTTTTCACTTTTTGATTTTTATGCTTGATTTCCATTAATGTGAATTAATGAGCACATTTTCTAAAAAAAACCCAGTGATTTCCTTCAGCTAAAACAAAAAATAGCAGATACACTGAAATTGTGTTAACTCAAACTTCACTAAGATGTAAAACCTGTCACAGTGTTCGCTAATTCAAAGTTAAACAACAAACAAACAAACATTGCTCCATTGTCTTTTCTTTATGTTCAGTCTAGGTCTCGGGGTAACAACTGGCTTGTGCCGAGCTGATCTTGTTTGAGTGAGGGATATCATCAGCCCTTAGATTGCTTCATAACATTTGATTGTACAGAATGGTTGCAGTGATATTGGCTAGAAGGCGAGCTAGCCTTGCCTCCCTTCCTCACTGTTGGATACATCAACATACTGTTTCAATTGTCTCCCTTTCACAGTGTGGTATTCAGTTAAGTCCTGTTAATCCGACATGGTTGGTTGTATATGATTATGTTGGATTAACCAGTATGTCAGATTAATTAAGTAGTATCAACGTTTGTGATAAAAAATCGTACAACTACACGATAGATAACTATACAAACACGTAACAAAGAAAAGAAAACTGAAATATTCATATTGTTATGTTACAATGTTAGCGGAATATGTTTTCTAATCATGCAACCTCTAAAGCTTAACACAAAACAACTGTCACGGACTGAATGACCTATTCAAAATACTTTAAAAAGCATAGTCTGGAAGTCGCAAGTTTGAAACTAGTGCCCCAATGCTTAAGAAAGCTGCTTTCTAAATGGCTAACGTTGACTTCCTGTTAGTCATTTCATTGGTTAGTCATAGTTGTGAAAGGTTGTTCTGATGTGACCTTGCTGTGATGGGATGCCCTCGGCAATAGCGAGGACTTGTATCTGATTTTAATGAGATTGAGGTAATCTAAGCATGTGATAAATCCTGTTTTCTTTATTTAAAGCATTAACTAAAACTATTTAAAGCATTAATTGTTTATTGTTAAGTTTAAATCTGCAGCTGTCTTGCATCAAAATACGGGCTGTGTACTCGCGGGCAGATGACCACGGAATACGCTGATCACTGTGTTGGATTAACGAGACTGATTAACATGATTAATGAGTGATTTCAGTATTTCGTTGCAAATTAGGTGTGTTGGAGTCGGAGTGCGAGACTGTCAAATTAATGGGTCTAAATAGCACTGATTGAATCGGTTCCCATCATAGTGTCGGATGAAGCCGATTAACAGGTGTCAGATTAACAAGACTTGACTGTACATTATCATACTGCACCAGCTGTAACTGCTGGGTGAAATAAGCACAGAGCATAAACGAAGTTGTAAAGTTGAAACAGCAGAACTGATTTTTCCGTTAATTTAATGCCTATTCATTTTTTTCTTTCTTTAATTCATATCTCTTTTATGGGTGCCGCATTTATATTTTCATATTTCTTACTCAAAGAATTATTTGTGATATTGTCTATTGCCATGGTTACCATGGTTCCCTCTTCCATTGGAGCAGGGATGTGCTACATGTTGGTTCATCTTTTTACAGCATGTACTGGGAGTTCGCCATGACGATCTACGTTGATGAGATTGTCTACATCCACTGCCACCAACAACGTGAGTCGGCCATCTTCCTCAAGGGATTCATTCATTCATTCATTCATTCATTCATTCATTCATTCATTCATTCATTCATTCATTCATTCATTCATTCATTCATTCATTCATTCATTCATTCTAGTAAATTAAGATATTAACTGTTAAAAATTAGCACAGAGGTCAAAGTGCTTGTTTGTCCTGCACAAGTCCAGGATTTGATTCTCCACATTGATTGATTGATTTATTGATTGATTGATTGATTGGTGCTAAAAGTACATATTTGAAAAATAGGCAGATAAACGATACAAATGTATCACAGAAAAGTTTTTGTAATCAATATGATTCAACCTTGAAAAAAGATGGCAAGGTGCTTGATTGTAATTGAAAGAGAACAGATTAAGAATTTACGAGTGCAACTGCCTCATGCAGACCCTTGCTCTTGCTTCAGTCCACACTAATTGCAGGCCTCAGTGATCTAACTGGAATCAGGGCAGAGGGGTAGCCCCATGGTGAGAGCGTTCACTCGTCACACTGAGTTTGCTTCCCCACATGAGTGCAATGTGTGAAACCCAGTTTTGGTGTCCTCCGTTGTGATATTGCTGGAACATTGCTAAAGGCGGCGTTAAACCATACTCACTCACTCACTCACTCACTCACTCTCTCACACTGGAATATTGAAGACATTGTTCAACAACATCCACTCACATGCTAAGCTTTGTACTGACCACGCCCATCATGTTCCTTGCAGCCGACTGTGGGGGTACGATTGTCCTGGTGGGCCAAGACGGAGTGCAGCGGCCTCCCATCCACTTCCCCAAGGGGGGGCACCTGCTGGCCTTCCTATCCTGCCTAGAGACTGGGCTCCTCCCCCATGGGCAGCTGGACCCCCCTCTCTGGTCTCAGAGGGGGAAAGGTAATCACCAAACTTGTGATCAAAAGCATTCCTCACTTGAAACGGGGGTGGCATTAGGGAGATATAACATGTCAGGCAGTGGAAGTCAGTGCAGTCATTTCTGGAATCTTTTAGGTTTAATGACTAACCTTTTGTCATGAACTTGTTGATGTGAGACTTTTGTTTATGTTCTGAAATATGTGAAGCCCATTTCAGGTGTCCCTTGCCGTGATATTGCCGCTGCAATATTGCTACAAGAGGCATAAAATAATACTCACTCACTTATGTTCCAAAATGAGAAATATGAATAAGTGACAGTGGGGTAGCCTAGAGGTTAAAGCTATTGATCATCATGGTGAAGGCATGGGTTTCATTCCCTACATGGCTGCGATGTATGAAGAACATTTCTGATGACACCTGCCATGCTGGAATACTGCAACAGCAGCACACCTTACTCACTCTGAAATAAGATGATTTCATATGGGGATGTTTTTGATGATGTGGGAATGTGTCTAGCGCATCATTCCTGTTGGTAGACTGCATGACAGTAGGCCCCTACACCACCGTCCTGGACTGAGTAGATCACTAACAAGTGCCCCTACACCACAGTCTTAGACTTAGCAGATCACTAACAGCTACACCACAGTCCTGGACTGAGTAGATTACTAACAAGTGCCCCTACACCACAGTCCTGGACCGAGTAGATTACTAACAAGTGCCCCTACACCACCGTCTCGGACTGAGTAGATTACTAACAAGTGCCCCTACACCACAGTCCTGGACTGAGTAGATTACTAACAAGTGCCCCTACACCACCGTCTCGGACTGAGTAGATTACTAACAGGTGCCCCTACACCATCGTCTCGGACTGAGTAGATCACTAACAGCTACACCACAGTCCTGGACTGAGTAGATTACTAACAAGTGCCCCTACACCACCGTCCTGGACCGAGTAGATCACTAACAGCTGCCCCTACACAACATTCCTGGACTGAGTAGATCATTCACAGGTGCCCCTACACCACAGTCCTGGACGGAGTAGATAACTAACAAGTGCCCCTACACCACAGTCTTAGACTTAATAGATCACTAACAGGTGCCCCTACACCACCGTCCCGGACTGAGTAGATCACTAACAGGTGCCCCTCCACCACATTCCTAGACTGAGTAGATCACTAACAGCTGCCCCTACACCCCAGTTCTGGACTGAGTAGATAACTAACAAGTGCCCCTACACCACAGTCTTAGACTTAATAGATCACTAACAGGTGCCCCTACACCACTGTCCCGGACTGAGTAGATCACTAACAGGTGCCCCTCCACCACATTCCTAGACTGAGTAGATCACTAACAGCTGCCCCTACACCCCAGTTCTGGACTGAATAGATCACTAACAGATGTTGTTTATTCTGTGTGATGTTGTTGGTTTTGTTTAGATAACGTGACATGCACTGATCATTGTGCTTGCTTTAGACATTGTATTTCACATGTATTTTTGAATCATAGTTTAGTTGAATTAAAGTTTCAAATTAAATATATTGTAGACTGTTAATAAGTTTGCTTAATAGTTAAATGAAGTATTTACATCATGAAGTAATTATTCTTCATCAGTGTTAGAGCACCATGCTCAGATCCATGACTTCAACATAGGAATCTTCAATATAGGAATATATTCAAAATGGCCTCAAGTAATTTCTTTTATTTTAATTGAGTCATTCAGATGCAAGAACATCTGTGGTGTATAGATCTGTCAACTGTCTTTTATTTCAATGATTCTGCTTTGATTTATGTAAAAATCTATTCCCTTTGCTGTTGGTTGTATCTGAAATCTCAGCTACCTTATCTGAGACAGAACGAACATGCATATTGATTGCTCCAGCCAACTGAACCTTAGTTGAGGTTGTGGAGAAATATTTGTATTTCCTGGCTTTCAAGGAACAAGGGTACATCTATGACACTTCTCTGTTTTGATTTGGCCCAAAATTGTTTGTTTGACAAGTAATATCAAAGTCACAAGTTGTTCACAGTAAGCATAAGACATTCCATGTGTTTCATTCTGTGAAGGGGGCATTGGTGCCCCATCATCTTTGCCGAGTTGCATCCATTGGCCACACAAGAAACCTTTGATTGTGGGTTCCAATCCTGGTTTGCCCCTATTATGTTGCCCCTTGTGGGTTTAACCAAAGTGGTAAACGTCTGAGCCCTGCATCACTTTGGGCTTTCCTCCCACATTAGTCAACAAACCTTGAAATAACTGGAATACTGCTTGTGTTTGATGCGTGATAAAAGTGTTACATATGTTGGGTATATGATAAAAGGGTTACATAAGTTGGATGTGTGGTAAAAGTGTTACATAAGTTGGATGTGTGATAAAAGTGTTACATATGTTGGGTATATGATAAAAGTGTTACATAAGTTGGATGCGTGATAAAAGTGTTACATATGTTGGGTATATGATAAAAGGGTTACATATGTTGGATGTGTGGTAAAAGGGTTACATAAGTTGGATGTGTGGTAAAAGTGTTACATAAGTTGGATGTGTGATAAAAGTGTTACATATGTTGGGTATATGATAAAAGTGTTACATAAGTTGGATGCGTGATAAAAGGGTTACATATGTTGGGTATATGATAAAAGGGTTACATGTGTTGGATGTGTGGTAAAAGGGTTACATAAGTTGGATGTGTGATAAAAGGGTTACATAAGTTGGATGCGTGATAAAAGTGTTACATAAGTTGGATGTGTGATAAAAGTGTTACATAAGTTGGATGTGTGATAAAAGGGTTACATATGTTGGATGTGTGATAAAAGGGTTACATAAGTTGGATGTGTGATAAAAGGGTTACATATGTTGGATGTGTGATAAAAGGGTTACATAAGTTGGATGTGTGATAAAAGGGTTACATATGTTGGATGTGTGGTAAAAGTGTTACATAAGTTGGATGTGTGATAAAAGTGTTACATAAGTTGGATGTGTGATAAAAGGGTTACATATGTTGGGTATATGATAAAAGTGTTACATATGTTGGATGTGTGATAAAAATGTTACATAAGTTGGATGTGTGGTAAAAGGGTTTCATAAGTTGGATGTGTGATAAAAGGGTTACATATGTTGGGTATATGATAAAAGTGTTACATAAGTTGGATGCGTGATAAAAGGGTTACATAAGTTGGATGTGTGGTAAAAGTGTTACATATGTTGGGTATATGATAAAAGTGTTACATAAGTTGGATGCGTGATAAAAGTGTTACATATGTTGGGTATATGATAAAAGTGTTACATAAGTTGGATGTGTGATAAAAGTGTTACATAAGTTGGATGTGTGATAAAAGGGTTACATATGTTGGATGTGTGATAAAAGGGTTACATAAGTTGGATGTGTGATAAAAGGGTTACATATGTTGGATGTGTGATAAAAGGGTTACATAAGTTGGATGTGTGATAAAAGGGTTACATATGTTGGATGTGTGGTAAAAGTGTTACATAAGTTGGATGTGTGATAAAAGTGTTACATAAGTTGGATGTGTGATAAAAGGGTTACATATGTTGGGTATATGATAAAAGTGTTACATATGTTGGATGTGTGATAAAAGGGCCACATAAGTTGGATGTGTGGTAAAAGGGTTACATAAGTTGGATGTGTGATAAAAGGGTTACATATGTTGGGTATATGATAAAAGTGTTACATAAGTTGGATGCGTGATAAAAGGGTTACATAAGTTGGATGTGTGGTAAAAGTGTTACATATGTTGGGTATATGATAAAAGTGTTACATAAGTTGGATGCGTGATAAAAGTGTTACATATGTTGGGTATATGATAAAAGTGTTACATAAGTTGGATGCGTGATAAAAGGGTAACATAAGTTGGATGTGTGATAAAAGTGTTGCATAAGTTGGATATGTGATAAAAGTGTTACATATGTTAGATGTGTGATAAACATGATAAAAATGTTACATTTGTTGGATGTGTGATAAAAGTGTTGCAGATGTTGGATGTGTGATCAATGTAAATCTTTGAGCTAATCTGAACTTTACTCAAACTTACAATTTTGCAGTTTCTTTCCCTACAGGCAAAGTGTTCCCCAAGTTGAAGCGTAAGGGCAGTCGTCTGTCGAGCGGCAGCAGCCACGGCAGCCAAGGCAGCACCAGCAGCTCGAGTGCTGACGAGGACGAGGCCACTGACTATGTCTTCAGAATCATCGCTTCCTTCAAGCCTGACCTCATCAGTAAGTATGTGCACATGTGGGGACCTCGGCCGTCTATTGGTTGAAGTGTGACTATCCTGGGACACAGTATTTGTAACTCAGAATGCAGACAGAACAAATTCTGTTTGTTTATTTGCTTGACATTTATTGTGCAAATGGTTAAATTGTGACATGGCTGGTGAGATAGCAAGGTTTGATACTGAGTATGGTCATTAATTATGCAAATGGTTAAATTGTGACATAGCCGGTGAGATAGCAAGGTTTGATACTGAGTATGATTTGCTCTTTCAGCTGCTGAAATGATGGACCCGAAAGCCAAACCTACAGGAGAACGCTCCCCTTGGCCCGTGCGTCGCCACCTTCCCCCCAGCCCCCTGGCGCAGTCCTCCGTGCAGTCGTACGCCCGAGCGCAGGAAGTTCAGAACAACACGTGTCTCACCCAGTCGCAGGCCAATCACAGGTACCTGTACGTGTTCGTCCACACATAGCGGCATGCCAACCTGCAGAACACCACCGTACTGATGTATCTAGTGCCCTGTGCCAACTCCACTGTCTTGTTCCTAGCGCCCTGTTCTAAGACCGTGCAAAGTTGCCTTCATGGTAGTCCCCCACTCTTGTAAGTTCCCCATCCACTGCTGTCTCATATCAGTCACTCTTCATGTTGCCACAACATTTCTCAAATCTCACTCAGTTGCCTCGTTTTTAGGATGACTTAAAGGGGAAGTGTACACGCAAAAATTACTTTCTTTCTTTTTCTAAACAAAACGCAATTTTAGAATTAGTTAGTATCTGTTTTTGAAAATATACACTCATTTTTTTCACAGTGAAAGTAGGAAGCTCACAATAGTGTGAAAATGATATGCCGTTATAAGGCCTTCGTTTTTCGAGCTAAACAGGCCTGAGTTATCTCCCTTAGATTATGACGTAATTGGTGCCTATTCAACTGGGTCCCTGTCTATTCTGAACGCAAAAGATATCAAGTACAAGTTTTCGGTAAAACAACATGGCCTACGACACACTCTGGCGCAGTGGTGACTCAGCATAACACTATGCTGGCTGGCATCTGAGACGCTAGAATCACACACCTGTACCTACACCACGTGAAGCGGCTCTAACAAAGCATGATGACGTCATAATGTTTATCAATTGGCACCAATGACGTCATATTGCAAGGGGCATAAGCCATGGTGTTTTTGTTATGGAAATAGAACACTTGGTAAATGTGAAAAATATAAATCGTTTTAATGCAAAACATATGTTGATTAATTGTGATATTTTTATATTTTTGTCTATGACACTTCTAGGTTAACACTTTTATTGTGGAAAAAGTACAAGAAAATTAGGTTCATTTCCGTGTGAACTTGCCCTTTAAGAGACGAATCGTTCTCTTTACAAATAACAGTTTGTGGTTTACTGAGTTCCCCTACAACTGATTCAAGGTCTGTGAGAGCCCAGGGTGCTAAATACATCATGCTGTTGCCTTTCAAAGGATCACAAGATGGTGTCTGTTTGAATGATATTGTTATATTGAGAAACAATGTACACTACTCAAAAGTTGTTGAAGAACAACTGTAGTTGACTATAGTTAATCTGTCAAAGCCATTAACTATAGTCATATGAAAAAATCTGAAAATAGCCATGGCAGATTAACTGTCGTCATTTGAAAGATTTGGGTATTCTTTAACTTGTTTTAAGTAGTATTATTTATCAACATGATCACATTTCATAGTTTTGACAACTAAATTTACCATGGTAGTGATATGCCAGTGATTGTTTGAAAGGGGTACGGGTGTTGTAGACGGTTGGCATGCAAGTAGTGTCATTGTTGTCAAAATTGAGTTTTATTACAATTTGCGTGTTTTCACACCGTTGATCAAATCAATGCAACAGATTGACATCTGTATTAATTTTTTATATTAATTTGAAGTTGTCATTGGGTATTTATCTTTAGTCCTGCTGTGTTCAGTCATTGGGCCCACATAGGGTCAGTGAAGTTAGGTCAGCATTTTACTACTTTTGTATTTCCAAGTCGTCTCCAAAACCAATGAGGCAGTTATCCCCAAACTTTGCTGGGATGATTCTCCTAGCGGTCTGTGTCAAATATGTTCCGTTCTCCATCCAAAGTTTAAGTCAGTTTCCATAGCAACCATTTGGGCCATTGGTCCTCCATAATGGCAGGTACCGACGACCATTCTTTGTATTTATATTTTAGACACAAATGACTTTTATGATGCCGCCCAGTGTGTTTTTGGTCCAGTGAGTTGAAAATGTTTGAAGGATCAACAACTATTTCTCCAAATATGTTCAGAAATGAACTCTTAGCATTGATTTCTATGCAGAACTCTCAGACTACACTTTATAACCACTCCTTATTATCATCTTTATTGCTCATGTGAGTCTACAACACTATCAGATTTGTGATATATGTTACATGGAGTCAGTGAGTAAAATCAGTCAATGTGTAAAATGGCTATAATTGTCACTTGAGCAATTTACAAAATGACTACATATTTCAGTCACTTTACAAGGCAACTCGCACAACTGTCCATTTATTTTATTATAATAAATTCCAAGCATGTTCATGTTGAGTTCCAGCCACCAGCGATTGAAAATGAGAGGATTAAAAAAAATAAAATGTTTTCACACATGTTTTTATATTGTGGCTTCTAATCTGTCATAAGTAGACTTTTGTGATGTTCTAAGCCTTTTTGAACTTCTTAAGAAGTGTTAGTCAACCTCTTAAATAAATGGACAGATGTTTCAGTTAATTTGTAGAATGACTGAATTATTATGGCATTCTGTAAATTACCATCTTACACATTAGCTGGGACATATGAACTAGCATGAATGAGAAGGATTTCGATCCTACTGTATTTGGAAATTTCCACTAACATTTGCCACAGACTTTGGACCGAATTACGTATTCGTGCGCCCTGCTCTAATAAGCGCCCACGGTGATATTTGCTAATATATTGGCAAGTGAACAATCCCAATTAGCACCCTTCCGATTGATCAATGTACACAAGATTTATTAATTCGTGTATAATACGCACTCGTGTCTTATATGCACCCTTAATGATGGGCAATGAAATTCTGGGAAAATATATCTGTCGTGTATAATACGCACAGACTTTTCTTTTGTATCATTTCAGGCTGTCAGTATAAACCACAAAATTTACGATCTTTCAACTCTTTCACCAAAGTTATATTCTAATAAGAGCCCCCTATTTCTAATTTTGAGAATTCCCTGTGCGCTTATTACATCGAATACGGTATTGGCCTCAGGGAAGGCTTAGATAAGTCCTTGTTCTACTGACAAGTCCCGCATGTAGTTTAGGCCGCACCCCATGGGAAGGAGCAACCTCATTATAGCAACAGAATGTCCATGATTTTTTTTACAGAATTGACTGCTTTTTTGCTGTAATATAAATTTCATTCATTATTGTAAAAACTTCTGTTATTTATGCTTCATGCATGGAATTCTTTTTCTGACATATATTTCCAGATAATCTCTATGTGAATCTATATTTTGGCTCAAAAGAGATATTTAATGTTTTATTGTTATTTTTTTAGAAACTGGGAAACAAGGTAAGGTTGTCGTTATAAGACAGTCTGTGTTGTATACTGACCATGCTCTATACTGAGGATGCACTCTCTCTTACCGCATGTCCTTTTCATGATGTCTTCTAAGGGAGAGAACTCATCTCGCCCCACCATATTGTCCACCCTGTCAAGTTTTTTATCTGTCGTCCGAACCTGTTTCAATTTAATGTTTGGCTATATTTACATAAAAAAATAATTAATTCATTTTTGAATTTCTCATGCTTTTTCATGCATCATTTTTCTTACATAAAAAATAGTGTAGATGTTGTGGCTGTGTTCCATATTTTCTTACCCCGGTCATGAGTACTCTATGTTGTAAATATTACCTTGAAGTGCAAACTCTTGCCTTCACTTCTCAGCAACAGACACCTTGTAATTATTGTACAGTGCTTCAGATTACCAAGGGCCACAGAAAAACAAAATGAACTGTTAACTTTGTTTAAGCCAATTTTTCCGATCACTGTCCAGAGTTATGTCCCTTCCCTGTGCCAGGATCTGCTGGTGGTGGGTTTAAGACCCAGACTGACATTGATGATAAACCTTGGTTGTTGAATGCCTTGCCCTTGCTTGGGGCTTCATTAAGGTGTTGACCTGCATCATGTGGGATCTCCTCCCAAAATGATCTGACCTTGACCTGCATCCGAATCTGATCTGACCTTGACCTGCATCCCACTCTGATCTGACCTTGACCTGCATCACACTCTGATCTGACCTTGACCTGCATCACACTCTATTCTGACCTTGACCTGCATCACAGTCTGATCTGATTCTGTGATACAACAGAGATCATGTCCACAGCGATGTTAAGCATTACTCACTTGCTATATTCCTGAAACCTGAATCATCATTTTCATGGGTAGGCCCAGAACACTGTTCCCTTAGTACAATGTGTGAAGCCTTTCTAGGTGCCCCCTGTAAGATATTGGTTAGGCTAATGGTTCCTGGAAGACCCAAGACAGTGTTCCCTGGTACAATGTGTGAAGGAGCATGGATATAATTATAATGTTTGTTCAATGCTTCATACTAATCCCTGCCAATTGTTTAAATGCTTTCATTGTGTGATAAGAGTCCCATAGCAACGTGATTTTATACAAACACATTGTTGCAAATAATTGAAAAGTTATCCATTGTTCATGACATCACAGACAATGTGACAGTAGACCATGTCTATGTTCTACATTTTCTCAGAAAGAAAAACTATGGTTAATATGGAAAATAACCAACTCAGAATTACAGATTATATGTCCCTCATGAATTAATGTTAAAAGTTGCTTGCTGAGGTTAAGAACATCCATTTTTTTACTTGGGACAGATAGTTTGTAATTTATCATATCTCCAAGGTTAGTGCGTAACTGTCATACCTCTAAGGTTAGTGCGTAGTTGTCATACCACCAAGGTTAGTTCGTAACTGTCATACCGCCAAGGTTAGTGCGTAGTTGTCATACCTCCAAGGTTAGTGCGTAACTGTCATACCTCTAAGGTTAGTGCGTAGTTGTCATACCACCAAGGTTAGTTCGTAACTGTCATGCCTCCAAGGTTAGTGCGTAGTTGTCATACCTCCAAGGTTAGTGCGTAACTGTCATACTGTAAAGGTTAGTGAGTTACTGTCATACTGTAAAGGTTAGTGCGTAACTGTCATACCGTCAAGGTTAGTGCGTAACTGTCATACCTCTTAAGTTAGTGCACAGTTATCATACCGCCAAGGTTAGTGCGTAACTGTCATACCTCTAAGGTTAGTGCGTAACTGTCATACCTCCAAGGTTAGTGCGTAACTGTCATACCGCCAAGGTCAGTGCGTAACTGTCATGCCTCCAAGGTTAGTGCGTAGTTATCATACTGCCAAGGTTAGTGCACAACTGTCATACTGTAAAGGTTAGTGCGTAACTGTCATACCGTCAAGGTTAGTGAGTAGTTGTCATACCTCCAAGGTTAGTGCGTAACTGTCATACCTCCAAGGTTAGTGCGTAACTGTCATACCTCCAAGGTTAGTGCATAACTGTCATGCCTCCAAGGTTAGTGCGTAGTTATCATACTGCCAAGGTTAGTGCACAACTGTCATACTGTAAAGGTTAGTGCGTAACTGTCATACCGTCAAGGTTAGTGAGTAGTTGTAATACCTCCAAGGTTAGTGCGTAGTTGTCATACCGCCAAGGTTAGTGCGTAACTGTCATACCGCCAAGGTTAGTTCGTAACTGTCATACCTCTAAGGTTAGTGCATAGTTATCATACTGCCAAGATTAGTGCGTAACTGTCATACCTCTAAGGTTAGTGCGTAACTGTCATACCGCCAAGGTTGGTGCGTAGTTGTCATACCGCCAAGGTCAGTGCGTAGTTATCATACCGCCAAGGTTAGTGCATAACTGTCATACCGCCAAGGTTAGTTCGTAACTGTCATACCTCCAAGGTTAGAGCGTAACTGTCATACCTCCAAGGTTAGTGCGTAACTGTCATACCGCCAAGGTTAGAGCGTAACTGACATATCGCCAAGGTTAGTGCGTAGTTATCATACTGCCAAGGTTATTGCGTAACTGTCATACCTCTAAGGCTAGTGCGTAGTTGTCATACCGCCAAGGCCAGTGGGTAGGGAGCAGTTGGTTGTACTTAGTTGTCATACCTCCAAGGTTAGTGCCTAGTTATCATACCGCCAAGGTAAGTGGGTAGGGAGCAGTGGTTGTACGTAGTTGTCATACCGCCAAGGCCAGTGGGTAGGGAGCAGTGGTTGTACTTAGTTGTCATACCGCCAAGGCCAGTGGGTAGGGAGCAGTGGTTGTACTTAGTTGTCATACCGCCAAGGCCAGTGGGTAGGGAGCAGTGGTTGTACTTAGTTGTCATACCGCCAAGGTTAGTGCGTAACTGTCATATCTCTAAGGTCAGTGCGTAACTCTCAAACCTCTAAGCTTAGTGGGTAGGGAGCAGTGGTTGTGCGTGGTTGTCATACCGCCAAGGCCAGTGGGTAGGGAGCAGTGGTTGTCATACCGCCAAGGCCAGTGGGTAGGGAGCAGTGGTTGTCATACCGCCAGGCCAGTGGGTAGGGAGCAGTGGTTGTGCGTGGTTGTCATACCGCCAAGGCCAGTGGGTAGGGAGCAGTGGTTGTCATACCGCCAAGGCCAGTGGGTAGGGAGCAGTGGTTGTCATACCGCCAAGGCCAGTGGGTAGGGAGCAGTGGTTGTGCGTGGTGATGATGTAAGACGTGAGCTGGTCTGTTGCAGGGCCCACATCAAGCAGCTGTGTGACACCATGAGGAAGCAGATCATATCCCGAGCCTTCTATGGATGTAAGTTCAGTGTGATGGGAGGACCACTACTTGTCCTGCACAATACCATGTCAGGATATTTTCTATGGCTTTCTGTTTATGAATTCAGTAATGAAAATACTGGTAGCACTAGCAGTGATAGGAACTAGTAGTTGTAGTCCACCAGTCCTTCCAATCATGACAGAGGGCACGGGTGGCCCAGTCGTCTAAGGCGCCGTGATTCGCTGTGCAGAGTTGCGTCCCTTGGGCACGCAAGAAACCTATGATTGTGGGTTCAAATCCCGGTTTGCCCCGATTATGTTTCTAGGTTTGTCAGCACCATACCCGTGCTCGTGGGTTTCACCGAAGTGGTAAACGTCTGAGACCTGCATCACTTGGGGCTTTCCTGCCACATAAAGCTGACACGCCGCGATATAACTAGAATACTGTTAAAAGTGGCGTTAAACCCAACTCTCTCACTCACTCTAATCATGACATAAAGCAAACGGCTATAAAGATGGCAAAATTCTACTTATCCTTATGCCCATCTTTCCGAGGCTAGTGACTATTAAAGTCCGATTTCGCTCTTGCTGAACTAGACTGGAATTCTGGAGTTACAGTTTGGCTGGACTAATGAGTCTGTGCGTAGTCCAATCAATATTGTGAAATCAACATCTGATTCATAAACAAATATTTCGGTCGATTGCAAGATTTGCAGAACAGGTGTACTGTCAAATGGGTGTCGACAGATATTTTCAAAATCTTTTCGTGGTTTTAATGAATGTGCGCAAGTGATTTGATGTACTTCATGAGGTAAGACCAAATGTCTTCCAATATGGATATTGATTATTGATCAGATTGTCTTCACTGGATGCCACCTTTTATTTTGAAGCAAATGCGAGTGATATGAGAGGTGGAATCTGATAAGTCAGTAGGAGGGACATAGCAGGGACATAACTCGTAATAGCCACTGGTGGCGCTATGATTAATCCACAAGATTCCAGCCTAGTTCAGCAAGGTTGGAAACTGGGCTTTTTGAGTCAGTTAACTCCCTTACCTCAGGAAGATGTGGGATACTTTAACTATCTGGATTTCTCACTTGCTACTCCCTTAATCCATTCCTACTCTTTGTGCAAGGTCTGGACCCAAGACCTGTTTGTTCCATGGTGTTTTGTGGATAAAGATGCTGGACTTTTGTTGGTTCTGACATGTTCCCTACTGGAACATCAACCCGGTAAAGAAGGGTTGAACCGAAGTAGGGTTGAACTGAAGTAGGGTTGAACCGAAGTAGGGTTGAACTGAAGTAGGGTTGAACCGAAGTAGGGTTGAACTGAAGTAGGGTTGAACAGAAGTAGGGTTGAACGGAAGTAGGGTTGAACCGAAGTAGGATTGAACTGAAGTAGGATTGAACTGAAGTAGGGTTGAACCGAAGTAGGGTTGAACTGAAGTAGGGTTGAACCGAAGTAGGATTGGACAGAAGTAGGGTTCAACTGAAGTTGGATTGAACTGAAGTAGGATTGAACTGAAGTAGGATGGAACTGAAGTAGGATTGAACTATTTGACTAAAGTACATGGTGCAACTCCTACTTTTCAGGGCTGGCCCACTGCCGCCACCTGAAGACCGTGCGCACGCACCTGTCAGGGCTGGTGCACAACACCATCGTGGCAGCTGATGACCCGTGTGATGCCAGTCAGGGACTCACACAGCAGAAGTGGGAGGAGCTGAATGTGGATGGAGTGGTATGTGTTCATGTGTCACTTACTCATCATTCTCTTTCCGTGGGGCGATGGGGGAGCCTAGTGGGTAAGGTGTTCCCAAGTAGAGCTGCAGACACAGGTTCGATTCCCTGCATTGTGTTCATGTGTCATCCGTGGGGCGATGGGGGAGCCTAGTGGTTAAGGTGTTCCCAAGTAGAGCTGAAGACACAGGTTCGATTCCCTGCGTGGGTACAATGTGTGGAGCCCATTTCTGGTGTCCCCCACCATGATATTGCTGGAATATTGCTACAAGCAGCATAAAACCATACTCATTCACTCACTTTCATTCTGTGATAAAAGCGAATACCATGCATGTTGGTTAATATATGAAGAATTACTCATATTCAAGAGATATTAGATTGGTTCGATGCACAAGCAATCATACTGGTACGTTGTAAGGACCGATGCTCATGAATGCTTCACATGTGACGTCATCGCTCCATGACTCGAGACACCCCTTTTGTCTCATGCTGGAATAGCGTGTAAAGTGAAATCATGTGATAAGAATAAAGACAATCTGTGGTAACACTTGAGTGATTGACTGGTACACATTTGAAACATCTCTTCTTAAATACATAATTCTCTATATGTGTCTGTGGTTAGCATTTCTTTTGACGGTGAGTATATAATTGATGGATTGAGAGTGCAGTGTTTAACAACAAACATACAAACAAGCACTGTTCACTGAAGGAGTTGAGTTTCCGTCTGTCTGTGTTGCAGGTGAAGAATGCAGGGGAGATATACAGACTTGTGTATTATGGCGGCATATCACATGAGCTGAGGAAAGACGTGAGTAGCACTTCCAGTTAGAGGAGCCTGTGTTGAACATTTTGTCCTTTTATCTATAGTTACTCGGTATCCTCATTAAAAGTTGAGAAGCTTACAATAAAAATTTATGAGGCCACTTACTTCTATTTTTTCCTATCAGTTAACTATGAAATAAAATGTGTGGCCTAAAGTCAAATTCATCTTGTGTCATACTGACGTCCTCCATATCACTTCCTGTTCCAGAGACCTCACCTGATTACCTCGTAATACAGGAATATTAGGAATTGGAAACACTAACTTATTGAGATTGGTGTCGTAAAAAGCGATCTTAGTGCTGAGGTGATCGTAACTCCCATACCTAACATAGACTTACGACAAGCGTAGCGCTAAGGTTGTTTTGTACAATGGCACCATGGACATTAACTAAGGGAGATAATTCAACACAGTGCATACCACTAGACAGTTTGCTGTTTTCTCGTTACAGGTGTGGCCCTACCTGTTGGGGCACTACAAGTTTGACAGCCGGCTGGAGGAGCGACAAGCCAGGGATGCCCATGTCAGGAATGAGTACGAGCGGGTCATGTCCGAGTGGCTGGCCGTGGAGGCCATTGTCCGACAGAGGGACAAGGAAATCATGGCGGCCAACCTCGCCAAGCTCTCCCAGGAGAGCACCGATGGACATATTCCACTTGTGAGAAAAGACTCGAGTTTGAGTAATGAGGTGTTTGAGTCGTTTGACTCTGAGGAATATTCCCACCCTGACACTGTGATGGAGGAGAGTTCTACAGCATTGACCACACCGACGCCCGAGCGCAAGCCAAGTATAGAACTAACGAGGGTCGATACCATAGTGCAGACAGACTCGCCGGCCCACCATCGCAGGGTTAGCTCCCTTGCAGACAGCCCTGACGATGGGCTGGGTGACTCTATAGCACGGGGAGGTTCTCTCACTGATAGGTCAAAATACGATTCTGTGGATTCCGAAGCCACGGACATTTCGAAGCCTGAGCGTGAGGGTAGTGTGGAGAGGAGTGTTGTAGTGACCAAGTTGTCAGTGGACAGCGCTGTGATTGAGGAGGAGACAAATGATGGGGAGTACTCTCATTGTCATCTCAGGGACAAGTTAAGCTCCATCGGAACGGACGAGCGGTTGACGGATGCATTGACTGTAGAGGGCGCCGGTATGACTTCGGCGTTTGAGCATGAAACCCTTGGTGTGTGGGCTAGCTTACTTCTCTCTCTTTCTCTCTCCAACTGTCGCGCCACAAACAGATGGGTTCATTCTCGGAAAAGTTATTCATTTTTTAAAAAAGTGTTTGTTTTTTTGTTTCAGTCAATGTCATGTATGATTGATTATCGGATTATTTTTTTTAAGGATTAGATTTAACACATGTGACCAGGAGAAATGGGATCTTATGGGTGAAAATCATCTCTGAGACACAGAAATACAATTCACAAGCTTCAGTTCATATTTATTATAGAGATACATGACATCACGTGTGGCGATCTTCACTGAAGTAAGTTCACGTCCAACGTCTTTATGATGTCACAGCACAATTGTATCCTAGTATAAGGTCCCTTTTCTCTTGGTGGTCACATTGTGACTAAATATTGAGTTTTATTTGGCCGAATTTAACCTTTTAATTTGGTAAAATATGGATTTGTAAAAATTTAATCAGAAACACAAAAAGTGAAAGGTGAGAAGTTACCACAACTTCCAATAATAGAATTTCTTCTGAGGGCAAATATATTCGCATTTATCCTTTATTTTGAAAAGACGAACCTATCTTTTTGTGATGGCTCAGCTTTACTATCATATATTGACTTATTGCAATGATTACTGTGTGAAATACAACAGCTTTAATAAGTCCTACGTTAATGAGCCTTTAAGTCAGGGGGTGTCAGCATGGGGAATGGATGGCCACCATGTTTTGTGAGTGTCTTTTGTTGGAGGATCGGGATGACCGAATGTATCCATTCTCTTTGAGGGAATTTTTTTAACACTTTGTCAAATTGACTTCTTGCTCCTGTAGATAATACTTTGATATTTCTGTAGTATTTGGATAATTGTGTCTTTGATCATGTTGATCAGGATGCCCTCTGACTAATTGTCTGCCTTAAATGCTTTTCTTATTTTTATGGTGGTGTTTGTCACCGTGATAAGCAGGCCTTATAGTGGTCGGGGTTAGTGAAACATCATCCTCTTAACGCACACCTTTTACAACCTTGGTTATTTCCCATGTTTGAAGTCGAAAAATTCACGAAACAATTTAATGGCTGTTTGAAGCGGAAATACTTGAACAGTGAGTGTAAGAAACAGACATTGTCTTTGTGTTATCTGGAAATACTTGATCTGTATAAACACACACATTATAAAATATATTATTCCATGGAAAAGATGGTTACTCAGGCTTGAAGCCAGGACTGACGGTTGAGCAGACCCTAGAGGTACAGTTGCGAGAACAGGCGCTGAAGCAAAGCCGAGCCCTTCGTGCCTGTTGTTCGAACTGTTCCTTTTGTCCTGATAGAGTATTGTCACATGTCCCGTTACAATATATTACAATATTGGACCCATGAAGAACCGGGATAGAATAGGTCTTCAGCAACCCATGCTTTTCATAAAAGGCGACTATGCTTGTCATAAGAGGCGACTAACGGGATCGGATGTTCAGGCTAGCTGACTTGGTTGATGCATGTCATCGTATCCCATGTTTGTAGATCGATGCTCATGATATCAATCACTGGATTGTCTGGTCCAGATTTGATTATTTACAGACCACCGTCATATAGCTGGAATATTGCTGAGTGCGGCGTTAAACAACAAACAAATATTACAATATTTGAACTTAAGTTGCATTTATTTATGAAATATTCTCTTCTTTGTTTCTAACAGTTCATAATGACATGTTTTTGTGTGTAAGTAATCTCGGCTTTGTGACTTGCCTGCTTCTCTGAGGCCACACAACATACACACAGCACCTCCCCTGTCCAGCTACTGGCAAACTTTTCCTAACTTTAGTTATAACAAACTCACTGTTATCTCCCAAACTATTTGTCAGTGTTTTGCTTTTATATATTTGTCTGTTCGGAGAACATTTTGTCACAAACTACTTTCATGAACTCTGAATGTTGCTGTGGTTATTATTATGTGTTTTTCTGTATATTGTGAAGAATTGTCTCAACTTCAAGACAACGAGGTGCACAGACGGCCCAGGTGTCTCAGGCGCCACAGTTCACTGAGCAGAGCTGTGTCCTTGGGCACGCCAGAAATCTATGATCCAATTGCGGTTCGCCCCGATTATGTTTCTAGGTTGTCAGCACCGTACCCATGCTCGTGGGTTTCACCAAAGTGGTAAACGTCTGAGACTTGCATCACTGTAGGCTTTCCTCCCACATTAAGCTGACACGCTGCGATATAACTTGAATACTGTTAAAAGCGGCGTTAAACTAAACTCACTCACTCACTCACTCACATTAAGCTGACAGGCCATGATGTAACTGGAATACTGACCAAAGTGGCGTTAAACACAAACTCAAGATTAAGATATTTACCAATGTCTTGATCCTATAAGACTGCCAAGACATGCAAACTTCTAAGCAGGTTATCCCATGAAGATTTGGGTTAGTATTGGCCTTAAACAACCTATGCTAGGCATACCTGTGTAGGCATACCAGCTAGTGTATATCATTGGTGCTCAGAAGCTTTTGTTATTTCTCTGTTGAGTTTTTGACAATGGCAATGTCGTATGCCCTTCAGTTTTGTCCTGAATAAGATTAATACGGGTGTAGTACAGTATTGTGTTGTAATGACAGGCGTTTTAATTTCAGAGAGCAGTCGTCACCTGTCGGCGTCCAAGGAGTCCCTCATATCCCCTGCCTCTCCTGCTTCCAATGGTGGCATCTACTGTGTAAGTTGTCTCAGTGTGGGATGCTGGGGCCGAATGTGTCAGGCCAGGCTGATTGTGTGTCACACTGTCTCCCCCGGATCATCTCCTGGGATGCTGGGGCCGAATGTGTCAGGCCAGGCTGATTGTGAGTCACACTGTCTCCCCCGGATCATCTCCTGGGATGCTGGGGCCGAATGTGTCAGGCCAGGCTGGTTGTGTGTCACACTGTCTCCCCCGGATCATCTCCTGGGATGCTGGGGCCGAATGTGTCAGGCCAGGCTGATTGTGAGTCACACTGTCTCCCCCGGATCATCTCCTGGGATGCTGGGGCAGAATGTGTCAGGCCAGGCTGATTGTGTGTCACACTGTGTCCCCCGGATCATCTCCTGGGATGCTGGGGCCGAATGTGTCAGGCCAGGCTGATTGTGTGTCACACTGCCTCCCCCGGATCATCTCCTGGGATGCTGGGGCAGAATGTGTCAGGCCAGGCTGATTGTGTGTCACACTGTCTCCCCCGGATCATCTCCTAGGCTTCATATTCAAGTTGGTCCGCATCTGTGGTCTAGTTGTAGAGCACCCGCCCGGAGAGCAGAAGGTTGGGGTTCAATCCCCGGGCTTGTCATACCAAAAGACGTTAATAGATGGTACTTGTTGTTACCCTGCCTGGCGCTCGGCATTAAGGGGCTAAAACAAGGACTGGTCGGCTCAGAGTCGGTGTACTGTGTCTGAGTGGGATATCAGTGGGCTAGCACTATAAAATCGGCATTTGTCTGGACTAGTACAAGCAGCCACACACCACACACCACACACACACACACACACACACACACACACACACACACACACACACACACACACACACACACACACACACACACACACACACACACACACACTACATGCATGCACGTTGCAATATAAGTGCAATAATCTTAAACCCCATTTCACCTCACCTTATATTTAAGTTACAAAAGCCTCATTAATTGGAACAGTTGGTATTGTTTTCAGTGAAATCATCAGGATTGATAATTTAACTATGGAATCACTTTGCTTTTAATGTACCAAATCAGTGTTCCCATTTTGTTCCAAGGGGGCATTAACCCCTTCTCTCCTCAGCCCCTTTCATCTCCATCCTCTTCCTGCGCAGTTGGGGTGGCCTAGTGGTTAAAGCTTTCGCTCATCACATCGAAGATCCTGGTAATTCTCGACATGGGTACAATGTGTGAAGGCCATTTCTTGTGTCCCCCCACCCCCCGTGATACTTCTGGAATATTTCTAAAAGCGGCGTAAAACCAAACTCACTCACTCACTCACTCACTCACTCACTCACTCACTCACAAACTTACAAACTCACAAACACAAACTCATTCTCAAACTCAAACTCACTCACAAACTCACTCACAAACTCACTCACAAACTCACTCACTCACTCACTCACTCACTCACTCTTCTTCCCCAGCCGGAACTGCTGGACACCGTAGCTCTCAACCTGCACCGCATCGACAAGGATGTGCAGCGATGCGACCGCAACTACTGGTACTTCACCCATGAGAACCTGGAGAAGCTGAGGAACATCATGTGCACGTATGTTGAATGATTTTTAAAAAATATATTTTTTCTTAAATTCGAGGTATATTTGAGATTACATTTAATGCAAAACCTGTTCCTATTTATTGGTCTTGTTATTAGTGAGTCAGGTTACTTCTACAAAGGCATTAAATTAGTTATTAGTTAGTTAGTTATGTATATTAACACATTTTATAATGAATTGGGAAGTGTTTAGTTCCAAGTTCGGAATTTTTATTGACATTTGCTGGAGATTTGGGGCAGGATTTCGGTCTCTGAGCACGTCAAGGTAACGTAACTCCATGTGTTCTCCGCCTGCAGGTACGTGTGGCAGCACCTGGAGGTGGGCTACGTGCAGGGCATGTGTGACCTGGTGGCGCCGCTCCTCGTCATCCTGGATGATGGTAGGCAAACCTTTCACAAGATTTGTCCCCATGATATAGTTACAAATAGTTGCAGTGTCAACCAAGATCTCACTCCAATTATATTTGTGTTTGTAGAGGCATTGACGTACAAGATCTCACTCCATTGATGTGTGTGTTTGTAGAGGCGTTGACATACAAGATCTCACTCCTTTGATGTGTGTGTTTGTAGAGGCGTTGACATACAAGATCTCACTCCACTGATGTGTGTGTTTGTAGAGGCGTTGACGTACAAGATCTCACTCCATTGATGTGTGTGTTTGTAGAGGCGTTGACGTACAAGATCTCACTCCATTGATGTGTGTGTTTGTAGAGGCGTTGACATAGAAGATCTCACTCCATTGATGTTTGTGTTTGTAGAGGCATTGACTTACAAGATCTCACTCCATTGATGTGTGTGTTTGTAGAGGCTTTGACGTATGTTTGTGTTTGTAGAGGCATTGACGTACAAGATCTCACTCCATTGATGTGTGTGTTTGTAGAGGCTTTGACATATGTTTTTGTTTGTAGAAGCGTTGACGTACAGCTGCTTCTGTGAGTTGATGAAGAGGATGTCCTCTAATTTCCCCCACGGAGGTGCGATGGACACCCACTTCGCCAACATGCGCTCCCTCATACAGGTGAGATAGTCATCTCAGGTGTGAACAGACCTTCCAACATACACTCTCTTGTACAGGTGAGATAGTCATCTCAGGTGTGAACAGAACTTTCCCAACATGCACTCTCTTGTACAGGTGAGATAGTCATCTCAGGTGTGAACAGAACTTTCCCAACATGCACTCTCTTGTACAGGTGAGATAGTCGTCTCATTTGCAGAGACCCACTTCGCTAACAGATAGTCTTCTCAGGTGAGGCCCTTCATCATGCACTTGCGCTTACAGGTCCAGAAGTTGTCTCAGGTGAGGACAACCTCGCAGCAAAGTTTACCAATAATGCCTGGAGGATCCCAAAGCTGAGACCCTTGACTTGTGTACGGGGCAGGAGTCAGGAGGAATACACCTGGACATGGCGAACTGTGTAGTATGGTGTTAATACAGGGATGTTTGTACCTTCAATCTTTGTATCTCATGCCAGGTGTATAGACTCCAGGGGCCACTTGCACAAAGCGATCTTAGCGCTAAGATACTAGAGTATGGGAGTTACAATCATTTTAGCACTAAGATAGCTTTGTGCAAGTGGGCCCAGGGCAGAAAAGGGCAGCATCCCATGTATGGTGACTCCTGACTGGGTTGAATGCTGTCACTGCCTGCACTCATGTATACACAGGCAGCCATGGAGCTGGGCTATTACTTCTGAGACATAAAACAATATTCACTCACTGGTATAGACCTTGGACCAGTTATGTAGCTTTATTTACATGGTTGTCAGTCCCAATGAATCAAGCCAGGTTTCTCTATGCTCCAGATCTTGGACTCGGAGCTGTTCGAGCACATGCACCAACACGGCGACTACACCCACTTCTACTTCTGCTACCGCTGGTTCCTCCTCGACTTCAAGAGAGGTTTGTTTCAGTTCATCTATGTTTGGGAAAACTGCATTCAATCGCACAGACAATTTGCATCCCAACCCTGGAAACAAGCTAGCATTGTAAAGATGGAACAGTTCTTATGCCTGAAACACAGCTAACCTTCAGACATTGATGACAGCAGGCACTGGTTTGTCTGGTCCAGACTGAATTGTGTTCAGGCCTCTGTGATATAGCTGGAGTATTGATGATTGATTTCACAATTTCATAAAAATCAAACTTTTATCTCTGGAGTGATACCTCCCCGCATGAAGATGTGATAATTCCTCCACAGAAAATCGTGTCAAGTGACTGCTCAAAGTAGATGAAGGATGAGTGGGTTCTTAAGCCTATCAGCTGTCAGTTTCTAAAACAGTTTGCCTTCATTTGTTTTCAAGTTTGATTTTGACAGAATACAAAAGTACAGAACACACTTATTCCATCGATAGTACTTCATTTTTACTTCGTTTTGCGTGTAGATGTCAGAAGCGACACTGCCTTTATTATTTCCATTCAGAACTGGATGTTGAATTTCATATTTTGAGATACAGAAATCAGATATGCAGCTTTGAATACTTCAACAACTTCATCTGTCACAAATTCGTATGGAGGAGCCATCATACAGAAATATGAGAGTAAAACATTGAATTTCCATTTGACTGCAGCATGCCCTGACTGTTTCAGAGCTGGTGTATGAGGATGTGTTTGCGGTGTGGGAGATCATCTGGGCAGCCAAACACATCAGCTCCACTCACTTTGTTCTGTTCATTGCGCTGGCCCTCGTCCAGTACTACAGAGACATCATCCTGGACAACAACATGGACTTCACCGACATCATCAAGTTCTTCAATGGTGAGACACTGAGTGTTAGCTGACCTGGTCATTGATGATGATTTGTCATCTGTATGGATAGTGACCAGTGAAGAATAGGTCTTCAGGAACCCATGCTTGCCATAAAAGGCGACTGCTTGTTGTAAGAGGCGACTAACGGGATCGGGTGGTCAGGCTGGCTGACTTGGTTGATACATGTCATCGTATCCCAATTTCATGGATCAATGCTCAATTACTGGATTGTCTGGTTCAGATTCGATTATCTACAGACCGCCGTCATATAGCTGGAATATTGCTGAGTGCGGCTTTAAACAACAAATAAACAAACAAAGTATAGGGATAGTCTCCCACTAAAGACAAGTCTCTTAAAATGCATTTTTGTCTCTTTAAACATTTTCTCTGATACTAGCAGACTGAGGAAGGTGAGCTAAGGCATGAATGTTTCTCTGATGATGACTCTAATCAAATCTTCTTCAAATCATTTGGATTTTTGTGTTTCTCTGATTGTTAAAACAAAAATAAGATTCGGAGTTGAAACTTTGTAAATTTAACTGTTGTACATCATACATTGCCCCAAACATTTAATTTGACTTAATTTCCAGGTGAGCTATGGTAAAGTAGTTATGATTTTAGAATTACACGTGAACTGGACAGTAGAACAAGAAATTGATTGGCCTGCCCATTTAACTGTAAGGATTATTGTGTTAATTCAGAAATGGGGGTTGTCGGGTAGCCTAGTGGTTAAAACGTTTGCTCGTCATGCCAAAGACCCGGGTTCGATTCCCAACATTGGTACAATGTGTGAAGCCCACTTCTGGTGTCCCCTGCTGTGATATTGTTGGAATATTGCTAAAAGTGGTGTAAAACCATACTCACTCACATGCGGTCCCCCCCCCCCTAACTTGGTCTGATGTTATAAAGTTACATCATTATTTAAACATGAACGGTTTTATTTCAGAAATGGCTGAGAGACATAACGCTAAGCAGGTGTTGAAGATCTCCCGGGAGTTAGTGTTACGTCTTCAGACTCTTATTGAAAACAAGTAGATCTGCATCTCGAGACCCACAGCCCCCTGCCAAACAACACTGCCCTGACCTGCAGGTCAAGCAACAGTGCATATGCACTTACATCCTTGTAGTAACTACGCCATCAAATGTACGAATTGATCACTCTGATCACTCTGTTGAAATGATTAACCTAACAAATATATTGTCATGCATAGATTGACGCAGTTGTTTGAATGATACCGTCACTGTTCATGCAGAGATACGTTGTTCAGGATTGGTGAGCCATTATTCATGGCGACAAGTTGATTTAGCTTCCCAGATGGGTGAGACAGGTAGAGCTCTACCTCAGATGTTAAACTGGAAAGTGTTTAACTCGGTAACTACTGTTCCTTAATGGCTTGACTCGTATCAAGCAGCTGAAGGGTTTTGATGGCACCAGTCAAAATATCGGGGAGCCTGGATTGTATACTGATGAGTCTTCAACCGCCGACTTCTTACTGGAATCAAAAGGGTTCGGACTCACATTCCACAAAGCGATCTTAGCGCTACGACTATTGTAAGCCTATGTTAAAGTATGGGAGTCATGATCACCTTAGCACTAAGATCGCTTCTGTGTGGAACGGAGCCCAGACCAGTGATGTGTGAACATGGTGAAGGCAGCTGATGTGACTATCACTTCTTAATGGTTTGTGTAGTATGAGAATTAAATGGCTGATCCTGCCCACTGTGAAGGGCAAATGATTGACTTTGCCATATTCCTTGCGCAGTTTCAGGGATGTGTGTCCAAGCAGGTGAGGATGTGGTAACATGTCCAACCAAGGACATGGAGCGGAGATGTTATGAGGACATGTGTGGCAGGAATGTAGGGAATGAATCTTATCGCAAAGAATGTTTTTTTAAATCAGAAGTGGAAATGATTCAAACATGCACTAACATTCCAATCCAGTCCTTTAATAACTGACTCGTTTCAACCTGTTTCAATCTCTGAGGGATTTAGTAATCCACTCGGACACGACTTCATACCGTGGGATTTTGTCCTCCTGATGCTCCACAGCACTGTATATCTATTGTTAGTATCATAGTGCGTCCACTGGCATATCTGCATTGCCATCCTAGCCGGGTGAAGCTCTCATGCTTGTCCTAGCCAGGTGAAGCTCTCATGCATGACTTGACTGGGCCATGCTTTCATGCATGGCTTGACTGGGCCCTGCTTTCATGTATGACTTGACTGGGCCATGCTTTCATGCATGGCTTGACTGGGCAATGCTTTCATGCATGACGTGACTGGGCCCTGCTTTCATGCAGGACTTGACTGGGTCCTGCTTTCATGCATGACGTGACTGGGCCATGCTTTCATGCATTACTTGACCGGGCCCTGCTTTCATGCATGACTTGACCGGGCCCTGCTTTCATGCAGGACTTGACCGGGCCCTGCTTTCATGCATGTTCTAGCCAGCCAGGCAATTGAGGTGAAGCTCTTGGTCAAGTTGACTTGGGGCAGTCCAGGTTTAGTCCCAGAGGAGATTCAGGTGTCTGTACAACACTGCAGATAGTGTTGAAATTAGACTAGTCATGTAGAAATGTATACTTGTACATGTTACAAATGTCAATGTTTAAAGATAAATGTTTCTTGTTAATATGACTAGTTGAGCAAGACTTTTTAATAGTGAGTAGATTATTCCTGTGTCTTAATGCAAATCAATTATGCTAATTGCAATTTTATGTGATGACTTAGAAAGAGCAACGAGAGGTGCGAACATTTGTGACAATGGCAATAATGTGTACTTTGATTGCCTGAGGCTCTCCCCAGTGTATACTGCATATTTACAGGGCAGTTGTTTGAAGGTCTTATGTGATAACTGGGTAGTATTGTGTAATCCGTTCCTTCAGTTGTGAGATTGGTAGAGATGTGCCAAAATTTAACTGGATATTACCCACCCACCCCTCAGTGTTCAAATGGACTCTACCAATCGAGTAACCTTAATACATGTGTTGCAGGGATGTTGCAATGAGATTATTTCATTCTCATCAAATATTACATCATGTATGTACATATGCAGCAGATCTAATGGTTTGATTTTTGTTTAAATTTTTTTTTCTGTATTTATCGGAGTGAAACGGTCCATGAATATCAAACTACATAGTTATTGGAGGAGATATGTCTCACGTTTCAATCAATGCTTGTGAAAAAGCTCCAATTGTTAAGTAGATGTTACGAGGATTCATAAGAGTTGCCTCTCTTAGATGTACCAGAATGTGCTGTTCACGGATTGGAATGATGACCCATGGTCTGTCATCACTATATCGGTGCTAATTGGATTCACCAACATAGTAAACGTCTACGATCTGTCACAATAAACTGACGCATCGTGATATAACTGAAATACTGTTTAAAGCGACGTTCAGCCAATATCTCTAACACAGTTCATATGTTACCAACTTGAGACCTATCCATACATCCTATGACCAAATATAGGGCAGTGATCAATCTGCTGTGTAGATAATGTTTTCAATAGCACTTACAATGCATTTACGTTCCATCCAAAGAATAACCATGATCACACAACATCTTCATACGGATTCCACTTGAATCGGTCTATCAGAAAGTATTGCTTGTATCACCCAGTTTATAAATCAGCTTGTCAGAAAGTATTGCCTGCATTAAACAGTTTATGAATAAGCTTATCAGACAGGATTGCTTGTATCACACAGTTTAGGAATCAGCTTGATGGAAAGTATTGCTTGTATCGAACAGTTTATGAATCAGCTTGTCAGAAAGTAATGCTTGTATCACACAGATTATCAATCAGCTTGTCAGAAAGTAATGCTTGTATCACACAGTTTATCAATCAGCTTATCAGAAAGTATTGCCTGTATCACACAGTTTATGAAACCGCTTGTCAGAAAGTATTGTCTGCATCAAACAGTTTATAAATCAGCTTGTCAGAAAGTATTGCTTGTATCACACAGTTTATGAATCAGCTTGATGGAAAGTATTCTTGTATCACACAGTTTAGCAATCAGCTTGTCAGAAAGTATTGCTTGTATCACACAGTATAGGAATTAGCCTGTCAGAAAGTATTGCTTGTATCACACAGTTTATAAATCAGCTTGTCAGAAAGTATTGCTTGTATCACACACTTTAGGAATCAGCTTGATGGAAAGTATTCTTGTATCACACACTTTAGGAATCAGCTTGTCAGAAAGTATTGCTTGTATCACACACTTTAAGAATCAGCTTGATGGAAAGTATTCTTGTATCACACACTTTAGGAATCAGCTTGATGGAAAGTATTCTTGTATCACACACTTTAGGAATCAGCTTGATGGAAATTATTCTTGTATCACACACTTTAGGAATCAGCTTGATGGAAAGTATTCTTGTATCACCCAGTATAGGAATTAGCCTGTCAGAAAGTATTGCTTGTATCACGCAAGTAACTGAATCTGCATCATTCACATGGCATGTTTCAGAATGTTAATGTTCTTGTTTGTTTCCAATGCATTTCTTCAGCTGTTGAGATAACATGATAAAGAAAGGTAGGTGACATGATGTGTGTCATGCCTCTCATTCACCTGTCTCGGTGGTGTGTTTATAGGAAACAGAGTATTGTGGATACTGTTAAGTAAGTTATTGTTAGACATAGTATTGTTTCAAGGTCACACAGAATGGTACATTGTATATAGATGTGTATACCGGTACATCTACAGCACGTTCATTATGTTAAGTTTATTTTGGCAGAGTTCTGTCTCCATATTTCACTGTGTAGAGTTGCAGCCAGGAAACAATGATCGGGGATTCAAACCCCAACTTTGCCCTGATCACAATTGGCTTGTCAGCACAATGCACATACTCTAGGTTAAACCCAACCTACTCACTTTATTAGAATATACAACACACATAACGCAACAATGATTGTTCTCGAAGATTTTTTAGAAGATTTTTGTGCAGCAGTCTTCTTTTATTTAGATATGAAAAATAATGGCACCTTGTAATGTATATTATTCAAATAAAACAAACTGTTTTGATGTGTTTTTACTGAAGTAGTGTCAGTGGCCACAGAGAAATATAAATCATACCCATTCCTAATGTCCGCAGCAGACGCATTCGATGTAGTAACATGTGACGTCAGAATGGGGTCATGTGACAGGACTGATTATCCCGCCGATTATCCTCGTGTTTAGTGAACAAAGGTAGCCCATGTTGCGTATATATGTGTCTGTTGTTTCATGAACAATGTCACCACACGTTTAGTTATCACTTTCTCACCAGTTTGCATTTGATTGACCTTGAAATGTTGACTCTTGATTCCACGCCAACATTCCTTTTTAGTTAATATGGATTATTTATAGTTTATTTTCAAATTTTAAGGTTTTTGTTTTATTGTACATCTTTTTCTTATATATCTATGTATACATTTATTTATACATTGAGTTATGATTCCCAAGATATATTAACTTGGGGAAAATGGTGACGTTCTTGTCATTGTTATTTTTAAATCAAAACATTTGTGATTAAACCCCATGTCACCATTTGCAAATTTAGACAAAATATGCAGTGCTATGTTCTTACAACTAGTTTTAATGTCCAGTACCTTCACGACTCCGTGTTATATACAGGCTATTATGTGTTGTAGATAGATCAATGGCCTATATATTTTACTTCCAGAATGAATATATAAATATATATTTTGAACCCTAGATGTACATAGATGTGATATATGTAATTATGCTACAAGGTGGTTGTACAGGCTAGAATCATGAACACAATCATGTATTTATTTGTACGAAGCTGTCCCATGGTGCAGACAGTTGTGTGTTGTCTGGTAGATCAAGGACAGAGGTAGTACGTGTTAGAGCAAAACTGGCTTTCTGTTGATGTGAAGCACAAAGAAGATAGGAAAATGCTACTGAAAGTTATGTTGTCTGTTGTTCTATTCCCTGGTAGTATTTCTTGTATGTAGACATATGTACAAATGGAATTTCAATTATCATTATCAGAACAGTAAAAGTTTCAGTTATCTAATTCTTTTGAATACTTCGCCTCTATTACATAATAGCCATAAATCCCAGTTTGGGCTGTAATCACTATGAAATCTTTAGATTTTTCAACATGCATCCTCCTCGCTGCCAACATATCTAGTCATTTCTAAATCATACAGTTTAATCTTGGTTTTCAGGAATGGAGTATTTAGCCATGATGGTATAACGAGGAGTTCAAATAGTTGGTTCGATGTTTTGGTTGATCTGAAGGTGTTAGAATCAGAAGATACTGTTATATGTTGTTGTATTTCTGGGTGTTACTGAGTATTTGATACCAAGCATGATCCACTGGAACAGCCTATGTAAGCCAGATGTTTCAAATGTTCAAATGTCTGGGCATTCTGTGCTCAGTAAGACCTGCATATCTGAAAACATGCCTATTTGCAGTTTTAGAAGGCAGGTAAAGTGATGTTTGTGTTTTTTTTAGAGATTATCTATTTTTCTAGATACATTTAGTCAATATCCAAGAGATATAAATTCATAATATTTGTAGGAAGTATTTAAATGTCCTAGCATAAATACTGAAATCACACGCTCTGTAATCATTTTTACAACAAACCAATATTGGGGCGTGGCTAAAGATAACGGGGCAGCGGTGACAACTGTTTCTTTGGCTGATAGGTGTGCCGCGTTTGTGACTCTTTGCTGTTATACATAGACTAGTCTGCTATTTCTGTTAATCCTACAAAAATAACAAGATTGTATACGTTGTTGGATGTGTAAAACGAGCATTGATCTTGACATTGAATAATTAATATAACATTAAGCAATCAGTAACTAGTATTCAGTAACTCACATCCTGTTTGGGTACTAAAACACCAGCTTCCTGCGGTGCTATTCCACACAATAAATGACTGTCAGGGATTAATACAAGATGAGGACATCATTAAACAATAGGGGACTTCATTAAACATTGGGGGACATCATATGGTTCCAGGACAACAGAACCAAGAAAAACTGAAAATAATAACTGAAGCTAAGGCCCAATATTACTTGAACTTTCACTTGGAGACGACACTCTGTGTAACTGTTCTGGAAGTAAGTGGCTGGATCTGGCTGTGGTATGTGCAGTACCCCACGAGTACAGCTTCTGTGGTATATCCCCAGTTATCTAGCAGAATGAATTAAGGTCCTCACAATAATTACTCCCAAAAATATTTTCAGTATTTTGGCATATTGACCAATAAATGTCCATAAAGAAAGAAGAAAGAACGAAATTTCATTATTATGCTGCTTAAATGAAATAAAAACAAAATGTCAAATGTTTGTGAGTAAACCAGGGCATAGTAATTGAGTCTTACCAATGTGAAACTCTGTGAAGATCCAAAACTCAAGACTATAAGCATTTTTGATGCGTTGGAAAAGTAAGGTTTGGCTTAAAGTAAGGATTAAAGATTACATTTTGAATGAGGTGGATGAGTTTGTAGTTAACAGAAACTATTGTCAGTAAGGATTGTTCTGTTTCTATTGTGGGGGCACGGGTGGCCCAGTCGTCTAAGGCGACGAGATTTGCTGTGCAGAGTTTTGTCCTTGGGCATGCCAGAAACCTATGATTGTGGGTTCAAATCCCGGTTTGCCCCGATTATGTTTCTAGGTCTGTCAGCACCATACCTGTGCTTGTGGGTTTCACTGAAGTGGTAAACGTCTGAGACCTGCATCACTTGGGGCTTTCCTCCCACATTAAGCTGACACGCCGTGAATAACTGGAAATCTGTTAAAGCGTCGTTAAACCCAACTCACTCACTCACTGTTTTTGTTGCAAGGTAGGTATAACCTATGTCTGGTTTGACCACAGCACATCCCCACTCCAACAGGAGACTCACTTGCACATGTGTTGGCATGTGCTTATGTTTTAGGTATTCAAGGGTAGTGGGTAGCCAAGTTGTTCAAGTGTTAGCTCAGAGACCTGGTTTGGTTCCCAATGTGGGTACAGTATGTGAAGGACATTACTTGTCAGCCTCTGCTGATGTGACAGACATGTTGCAGTGTACAACCTCTTCACTTTGCGTATTCTAATGGTTAACTCCTAATTAATGTTACATGTTTGGATATAAGTACTTATTTAAGCTCATGTTGAACCATCACCATCTGGTTCTATGTTTGTTTGACCAGCAGTTTTTCGACTTCTACTAATAGTAGAAGTAAAGGTCATGTTGGTAGAACTTTGTTGATCCTTGTGTCAGTTACTTTGTGATCCGTTAAGATCGGGGGTAGAATAGGTCTTCAGCAACCCATGCTTGTGACTATGCTTGTCGTAAGAGGCTACGAACGGGCTCGCTGACTTGGATGATGCATGTTATCATATCCCAATTGCGTGGATAGATGCTCATGATGTCAATTACTGGATTGTCTAGCCCAGACTTGCTAATTACCGACCGTTCTCATATTGCGTGAATATTGCTGTGTGCGGTGTTAAACAAGAAACAAACAGTTACTTTGTATGTAATTTGAAACCAAGGCTTATCAATCAAGACTCTCTGCTGATGGTCAAGACATTGACAATGGCCAGATGAGGATGGTTTCATTTATGCTCTTGTACTTTCCACAATTACTCTCAAATGGGGGGAATCTGTTTCTTGTTTTAGCTCTTATTGGATTCAATTCTGTCTCAAGTCATTGATTTTGTCATAAACAAAGAACATTTGTTTCAGAAGTTCTTTATGATATCTCTACAGCCTTGCAGTCATTGACTATTGTGCCACTTATTTGTGCTCATTATATCAATCACCAGTTTGCCTGGACTTGATTTCTAACAAGCTCCATGAAATAGCTACATGTTCCCGATTGCTGTTTAAAATAACAAACATATAGCATGTAAGTGCAATCCAGGAGTGAAACGGGGCGGTTTGGTAGCCTACTGGTTAAAGCGTTCGCTCGCCACGCCGAAGACCTCGGTTCGATTCCCGACATGGGTACAATGTGTGAAGCCCATTTCTGGTGTCCCCTGCCTGATATTGCTGGAATATTGCTAAAAGCGGCATAAAACCATACACACACACCAACTCCAAGAAGTGAAACTTTAAATAGATTATAAATGTAGAAGAAATGCTGGTATATGTACTTAGTAGACCAATGAAGTAAGATTATTTTTATGGTTATCCCTTGTCTGGAAGATATAACAATATTTATTTAACTTTGAGTGCTGTGATATATTGCTATGATGACGTCAGAGGGTTGTCCAGATCTGGAGGAAGGACAAGGAAGACAATGATAGTGCCGATGACATCGTTGAACATTGTATGTGATGTACTTAAGCACCTTGCAGAGAAGTGTACACCATGTACTGTGATCATATGTGAAATTGTCGTGTTCATTTGTTGTTTTGTTATTTTGTGAAATATGTCAATAAATATATGAGTAAGATTTGCTGTATTGGTTTTGAATGGGACTGACCTGGAAGAGGGCACACAAACAGTTTGAGGGGAAGTGAACTTATCTTGATGATGACTATTACTCCAGTCTCTTGTCGATCAAGACCGCCTCCGTGGTCTTGTGGTAGAGCGTCCGCCCGACCGCGTCATTCCAAAAGACGTTAAAAGATGGTACTTGTTGTTACCCTGTCTGGCGCTCGGCATTAAGGGGCTAAAACAAGGACTGGTGGGCTCGGAGTCAGTATACTGTGTCTGAGTGGGGTATTCATGTTAAACTGCGGCATGGTATCTCAGTGAGCTAGCACTATAAATCGGCATCAGTCCGGACTAGTACAAGCAGCCACACAAACACACACACGTACATGCACGTCGCTATATAAGTGCAATAATCTTGGACGTGACGTTAAACCCAATTTCACCTCACCTCTTGTCGATCAATGTTAGTTCTGCACAGTCCACCTATCTGTCAGAGGCGTTGCTGTTCATTGCTCAGATTTTTATCTACTGGGCATTTCAGAATCTGTGGTCTTTGGTTTGAATCCACCGTTATGGTTCTTGATTTGTCACCACCATTTTCCTGATGTGGCATTCATCAAAGTGGTATCCTGTAACTAGGACTGCATCCACTTTCCTGCAACATTAAGCAGCCAACAACAAACTGAAAGTTCAAACACTCTCTGACATCGATCCAAGACTGCCAAAGTTCAGCACTGCCCCTACTCGAGGACCAGTCGGGGGTCGTCTTATGAAGTACGCAGACAACTGGGAAGCTATCACAGACCACTCCTGGCTTCTCGAAGTAGTAAGAAAAAGATACAAACTTCACTTTCTAAAATGACCAAGATTAGTTATCCTTCTCACTGGACCCCACTCCCACCTGTCAGGGAGTAAAGTACTTGCAACAAATGTGGCCATACACAGGTTACTAGCCAAGAGAGCCATCCACGACACCACCCACTGATTCTACTCACCAGTATTCCTGGTCCTAAAGAAGACGTCTTCGGATATACGCTTGATTGTAGATCAAAAAGTCCAAACTATAAGGAAATTCAGACATGGCACTATCGAAGGCTATCTCTGGTGTCCCTCGCCGTGTTATTGATAAAAGCGGCAAAAACAAATACTCACTCACTCTACATACTGATAAAAGCAAGCCTTGCAATAAACGTCATCCAATGGGTAACAGGTACAATGTTCATTTTGACAGCATGTTAAGCGTCTGTCTACATTCGAGCATTTTGGTAAACATTCTGGGCACTAATTTGTCTTCCCTTCATGGTGTTCTGTTTCTTTTTGCATCACAATCGGAATCGGAATTTACTCTCGGACTGGCAAGTTCAGGGTAGTTGGCCAAGGCATATCAATAACCATCAAATAGGCAATTCCCCTCCACTGATTTACCCGAGTGAACTAAATATAAAGGAGACCAGTGAAACCGCCTCATATGTTTCCTATTTAGATCGGGGTGGTGGGGTAGCCTAGTGGTTAAAACGTTCGCTCGTCACGCCAAAGACCCGGGTTCGATTCCCGACATGGGTACAATGTGTGAAGCCCATTTGTGGTGTCCCCCGCCGTGATATTGCTGGAATATTGCTAAAAGCGGCGTAAAACCATACTCACTCACTACTATTTAGATCTATGCATAAAGATTCAGAGTTACAAAACACTCTTCACAAGACTGTAAGACAAGACGGATGACTTCACCTTTCCAATAGTCAACTTTCCCTTCATGTCGAGCAATATTCCTGCAGCTCCTGTCCTTGGTGACGACAATACACAACTTTTGAGGTATAAACGATCATGCCCTTTCTACCAAGATTTCAAAAGGGGTATTACAACTCATACATGTGGAGGACATGTTCAAATTTGACTGTCAAGTGACGAAAATGATATCCCATGCAATTCCCTATTTTGACTTGTACAATATGTTTCCGTGTTTTTTTCAGGTGAACAATTGACTTGGCGTTGCATGTGCTTGTGATGGGTACCACCGGTGGAGCAGGATACACTCCCCTGGTTATCATCACTATTTGATTGTGATTCATAAACACAAACATACATTTCTCATGAACATGGAACATGATTTTATTATCGTGGAACAATTGACTTGTCTTTGCATGAGTTTATGACGGGCGCCGGCAGAGCAGGATACACTAACACTTGGTCTCATCACTATTCAATAGTTACTCATAAACACATACCAGTGGCAATCATAATCATACATTTAAGTATTCACGTGTGTAGTACTAGGCCTAAAACAAAAACCTACATTTATGACAATTTTATGCGGCGGGACAGGCTTACTTTTTCGCGAATCAGGTGGTGTCATCCATTCATTAATTAGAATTTTATAACTATTTTGCCTTTCACTCCCAATGGAATCAGGTCAGATAATCGCGACTGATTATCCTATGGTGTTGACGTTTTATATTTACTGTCAAAGGATACTTATCAACATGCACTTGTTCTGAAACATCTTTCAATGTGTGAATTATTGATTTAGATTGCATACAACTCTCATGTTTTGTACATTGCCCCTGCCTGTGTTAAACAACACAAATGGTTATGTATATTTATGGACGCTCTTATCATGCATTTTCATTCACTTTCATACTACGGAATGATGAGCTGATATTTCACACATTCAGAATATTTGATCGATTTATTAAACTGTCAAATAAGAAGACCCTTCATTTCCGTTCTTGTCTTTAGTTTACCGTTAACCAAGACCATCTTCCAGAAAATAACAACCTGTCTCCCGAAACTGACTAACGGTAGTGTCAACTGATTTAGCCAACATGTTGCATCCTCTATTAGGCAAGAGTTCCCGAATATGCAGTCATCTCATTACCATAAGGAGTCCAACGATACTTTCAGCTGATATATTGTTCGGACTTTTCATAATTAGTTATTTCAAGTTTTAATATTGAGACATGCAATTGTCACATGGAATTAAAACAACAAAAATTTTGACTATTGTTGTATAGCATAATTACATACAGGAAGGTGAAGAAACATACTCGCGTGTGGTGTGCACACTCAGTGCTGGGCCAGAGGCAATGCCACATTGATAACCAACAGCTGTCACTTGCTGGTTCTGTAAACACAGCCATTAACGCCTATGTACTGATACATGATATGTGAAGCGATCAAGGCCAGGTGTAAAGATGTGTATCACGTAGTGCACTAAAGCATGAAATGTACAGTCGCAATTACACCCTAGCATGATGCGTGCCCTATCAGTGTCTCATTTTAACTTCTGTTACTCATTCATCAATAACTAAACAGAGATAAAAATCAACGTTTCAGCATGCATCAGTTAACCCTTACTGCTGTAAACATCTATTTATGTGATACAGTGATTAAATGAGAATAAATGTTTGCTATTTTTAGCAATATTCTAGAAATATCACATCTGGAGACACCACACATGGGCCACACACGCGGTAGCCATGGATGAAATTGAACGTGTGCCATCGTCGCGACGAGCTAACACCTTAAGCAGTGGGCTATTCGTTACCATAGAGAATGAAATCAGGCTTTGTCATTTTCTGTGTGAGGATATTTACTGAAGGTCATGTTGGTATGAACAGCACGGACTTTTATAAACATGTACACCATGGGTCAACATTTTGTTCGCATGTGTCTACTAATGCTTGAACAGCCGATTTCCTATATTTTAGCCATACACCTGTATATGCTTTTTGATGTGGCTTTATACAGTGCAACAAATGTCACATGTTTTTATGCAGACATTCATAATACACGTTTTCAGACTTTTACTTTGCTTGACTTTGTGAATGTAACACATAGGGTTTATGTCAGCAGCAACTGTTGAAAAATATGACTAATGATTCGTTCACACCCAACTCGAGTGGGATATTTATCTTTCAATCAACTGTAATGTTTGGTAACATTTGTTCTAAAGGTTGATGCAAGGGTAGGTGTTAGGTCCTGGTAGATGAGTATATATGTCTCCCAGCTCTACCTTCACTGTCGGTGTGGAATGAAGACAATGACGATGCTGCATACAACGTTCATCCTCCTCCTCTGTGTGGAACTTGTCACAGGTGACTATATAGTTTCAATTTTCTTTATGAATTATCATAATGCGTGGGTTGACGATGTTTACTTCTTAACCAGTAGTTGTGTGCAGGATGTTATTTTAGCTACTTGTAATGGTCAACAACATACCTTGCACTTCCACATAGAACACCGATGACATAATTTATGAGCCCAATTTGTTTTTTTAAATCTGTAATAAGGTCGTAATTAGGTTTGAACTATTGAGGTAACAATGCAATATGTGAACCATGTTTGACTTGTTTCATAAATCAAACATGTTTTCAGTTGTGTTATGAACCTAAGGTTATTTCCTTGCATTCGCACACTTCTTACGAATATGAACTAGTGGGCTACTTTATAGGGGGACTCTGCAATTCAGCAATATTCCAACTATATGGTGGCGGACCAGACGAACCAGTGATTGATATCATGAACAAGGATCCATGTCTTCCGGGTATGATGGCATGTATCAACCATGTGACGGGGCCTAAGTCAAATAACTTCACACAACTAGTAGGTATATCTTGTTGTATGTAATAGGTTGTAAGAACTGAAGTTGGAAGCAATTTCCGTTCACACAGCAATGGGTTGCATACACCCCGTGTCTCGTGAGACATGTTTTTGTTACTTCTGAAACATATTTGAAGTACTGAACATTGTAGGAGAATTATGATCAAATGACACCGGGCTTACCTCTGACATGACGGATATCTGACATACTCCTTGTTCTACCTCATGGTGTTAACACTTAATTGCAAAATAAGAACACATTAGAGGAGAAAAAGTGCTAAATGTTGTCGATGATTATGTATTGCATAAAAATAACTTAAATATGGGCACTTTTAATTGCACACATATAAACATATTGTGTGATGAATGTTTCTCTTTGACTTTTTTTCATATACTGTGTGCAAATGCAATACTGCCCTATGTCTGAAATACACAATGACATATGTTATCAATTTGCTATGATTCACTTTACTCATTAAATATGAACAATAGCGTGATGTAGAGAGGTGTACCCACACTCAAATAAGAAGGGGCAAGACTGAGCTTAGCTGAACAGTAGCTTTTTGTACCTCGGTTGTTGTGACTCACAATATATTTTGTATTAGTTTTTTCATGAGTAACCGAACTTTTCCACGCAAATATTGATATTGAAATTGACACCACAAAATAAAGTTTAAACATGTAACATTCTATATTACTCATAATTTTCGTTTACAAATATTTGATAAAATGAGTCAAATTGTAGTTTTTTTCAATGCAAGAGAAAGTCATTATGTGAAAAATGTTTTGAATATAAACAGATAAAAATATAGGCTGTTCGTTGATATTGATTTGACAAGTCACACATAGTCAATGTTTATTGTTTAAATCTAATATATTAAATGCCATTCTTAACATGCAATGTGAGCATCTGTTCCTATATCTTTTGTGATTAAACACGAACTTGGTGCATCCTTTGACATCCGTGTTCTGTCAATCGAACGATCCGAAACAAATTTAAAAACCAAATCTAAAGTTGTGGATGTATTTTGTCAAATGTGGCCAATTTCATCCACGGAATATTGAAAACAAAATACAGTCACTACTGTGTGCGATGTCGCGTCTGCCACGGTGGTAAAGGTCAAGATTTGTGCCTTATTTTTCCAATCATTGCGACACACAAATATTATTAATTCCTCAATTCTTGCCATGATTTTTAACTCATGCATATTCTCCCTAATCTCATCCAATGTATGCAACACCATGGAAAATGGATCTGTTGTAATAGCAGAAAATGCAAAAGGGTGTTAAAAGGGAGGTTTGAAACGTTTCAAACGATAAGATTTCAGAGATGGGGGTTTGTTTTCACTCATGATTCATGTTGATTTCGTCTTGGCAACATGTTAAAGTTACACTGCTTGTTTAGAAAGCATACATGTAAATATCATGTGGTTTTAATACACAGTATTATAGGCCGCATACATACAACTTGTCGCAGGATGAAAGAGCATGTCTTATGCCTTATGCAACCAACAAGTTGCATACTATGGTGGCCGAAAGGGGACCTAGCTTTGTCGCCTTCAATTATGGCCGCGAGAAAGCAATGAAGCGATTAAGCTATAACACAAGACACGAAAGGGATACCAAGAGATGAGAAATCAATACCACAAGACGAGAAAGCTATAACACGAGACGAGAAAGCGATACCACGAGATGGGAAAGCAATATATTGAGAAAGCGATAGACTGATACGAGAAAGCGATAAAGCAAGGCGGCGATAAAGCAAGAAAGTGAGAAAGCAATAGAGCGGGAAAGGGATAGAGCTTCAAAATGTTAAAGTTAGAAAGCGATCTTTCCCATGATGGCGTACATTAAAAAGTTTTTGCTGCTATTCAGGGCTCCATTCCTATAATTTTCACCGCTGTTTTGCCTTTCATGCCTCACAATTTCAACATTTTGTAGTACAGATAAATTTGTTAGATATTCATACAGAATGTTATCTCGTTTCGTTTGCAAACACGCATGTGTTTACTTTGTTACATGGCTACAATGTGTGAAGCTCATTTCTGGTGTCCCCCGCCGTAATATTGCTAAATGCCTAAACTCTCCCTCCGCCGTCGGTACCAGCATTGTGTAGGATGATATTAGTTATATCTCTCCATGTTTAGACTAACATGCTCTTGGATACTTGTGAATACCTTTCACTATTCAATACTTACAACTAAAACATTACTATTGATATGTGTACTTATCCCAAGTAAACGTATCAACATGATAACACCATCGTGATAGCAATAGGAGCGGTGAGTTAACCTAGTGGTTGAAGCATTAGCTCCTTACGCTGAAGATCCAGGCTCGATTCCCAACATGGGTACCATATGTGAAGCTGCTCATTTCTGGGGTCCTGGCGGCATAAACCCATACTCACTCACTCACACTGGTGTTTATCAAATTACTACATGCAAACTTTGCTTTGAGTTTTGTAGGTGCTTCTTTGAAGAAAAACAAAACTGGTGTCATTACTCCGTGCTCGGCTTCCACGAACAGGCAGTTCATGCATGAGCTGAGGTCGCTGCTAAGCCTCTATCTGGGGGAGAAGGTTCTACCGCCAGCGACCTCCACTCCACAAAGTAGCAGCTCGGGTAAACACGCCTTTGTGTTTCTGTGTATGTTTAGTCTTTGATGTCAGGAAGGTATATATAAGATGGTGATATCAGTACTTGAGGATTGCTTTCAATTTATGATTGTTCACATTCGGCGGTATTCTACTGTTTACATTCTGTGCTGAAGTCATTCAATTTCAACTCATGTTTTTCGTACTTTACCTATACGGCACACATAAAGATTAGCACACACCATGTCTCTCCCCGTCAAGTATTTATTTGTCTGTATTGAAATCTGTGTTTGTTCTCTATATTTGTAGGAGGAGGAGCGATGTTCACTCGGTGGGGAAAGACAACATGTCCGTCTGGAAATGATGTCATGTATAAAGGTAAAACATTTCAAGACATACGTTTTCTAAAAGTTAAAAGAGAGTAAATCACTTTGTCAGATGGATTTACTTTTTATGTTATCTGAATATTTTCAGGGTGTCAGTTCAATCGAAGTTAACTTATAGAATGCTATCATCTCATGCATAAGTGAACTTTGTTGGGACATATGCAGTTAACACGAAAAGGCCTGTATTGAATCTACTCCCTTACATAATGTGTATGGAAATCGAAAACAATCCCATGTGTACAGTGTGTGTAACTGCAATTTTTCAATGTATTTATTTTGGAGATTTAAGGGATGCAGAAAATTAAAACAAAATTATATTTTATTGCATCATGTATTTAGCACTTATCACCACAAGAAAAATGTTGTCAGCAAGTATTAGATACTTCATTTTTCACGACAAACATCACATTAATTAAGGTCAAACATACTCTCTCAGAAGATGTGCAACCCTATCAGTATAATCGATCAGAGATACTTCATTGTTCAACAGATGTTCCTTCTCGCGTCTTCTCCGCGTATTTAGTTACTCATTTCACTGATAGTTTTTGACAAAAAAAGTTTAAATTAATATTATCTCTTTTCTAAGTGTTTGAATCTATTGTCTGCTATTAATCTTTACTTGTCAAACTATATCAGTTACATTCTTAATTGACAAAAGAATAAATATTTGAATAAATAAACTGCTTTTAATTTCTCTCTCCGCTTAAGTTGTCCCCACCCAAACTCCCCTATGACCAGTGATTGTCTCTCCCAAACAGATTATACGGATCAGTGACTACACGGATTACACTGAGCAATGGGGAAACCACTTATTCATGGTTGTAAACCTCCAGTGATGCATTACCATGGTTACAACAGGTTGTTCTTTTCTCCGAAAATCCCTCTGCCTACGGGATTCTCGAGCTGTGCGCTTTTGGCTGAGAACTTGCGAGTGCTACAATTGAAATTTCAGAATTAAAGTTATGTCATGTAAACAAAAAGCATCTTCATATCTGTCGGTTTATAAGTCAGATATAAAACTTCTCCTATGGCTATCCATGAAAATGATGCACTCCAGCGCAGGCGGTTTATATCCTATACATAGACAACCCAGACAGAGTAACGCTCTAAAACTTAGAGGGGTGGTCGGGTAGCCTAGTGGTTAAAGCCTCCACTCGTCACACCGAAGACCTGGGTTCGATTCCCGGCATGGGTATAATGTGTGAAGCCCATTTCTGATGTCCCCCGCCGTGGTATTGCTGGAATATTGCTAAAAGCGGCGTAAAACCACACTCACTCACTCACTAAAACTAAGAGAACCAGGACTGTAATCGTCTTTACATATGCGGGTTACGACACAGTCTTAACCACGGCAGTCATAAAACCTTGCTTGTTTGCTTGTTTGATGTTTATGGCCCTGTCACTCAACGTGTTAGAGTAACTTGCCCTAGCGTGTAAAAGACAGTTGGTATGCTGTCATACATCGAGCTTCAACGAAAAACCATGATTTTGGCCTATCCGTAGCGTATACACGACGGGTTCACCGTTTATGTAACGCACGTCTAACGTATTAGTAGCGTATCACTGACTTCTACATAACTAATGAAAGCGTATAAGAGCGTACTGCCAGCGTGTGCCTGGCGTGTTCAACGTATGGCCAGCGTATGCCTAGCGTATGAGAAAGGTATGACGAGCGTTCAGCGTTGGGGTAAGGTGCCCAAAACGGGCCTCGAGGTAGAATAACTAGTCGTGTAACCCATTCATCAACAGCATCATGTTGCCTCCCAAAAAGAAACCTGCCAGGGGCCGAGCACGATCTGGAAAAGTGTCACTTGGAGGATGTCATGCTGATGTTGGAGAATGGCTATTTCTTCTTGGTGCAGCGCTAGCCTCTCAGGATCCTTCACCTCCATCTTCTATGATGTCTCCATCACCGCCTCAATCAGTGATGAGGTGGTACTGACCGGGACCCAATATATACAGAAACCCCAACACGCTGGTGCTACGGTGCAAATGCGCTAGATACACGTTTAATGGGTTATTTTGTCGTCAGACATACGTCTAATACGCCATATACTTTGGATGCATACGTTAGAAGTAAGTTACGCATACGTTATCAATACGTTAGGTGTACAGTACACCTTCAGCCAACTTGTGTCGACGTATATCAGCGTATGGGTAACGTATATCCGGTTGGCGTATGTAGAGCGAACCTCTAACGTATGCCTAACGTATAATTCATACGTTTCCATGCGCCGAAAAGTGTTTGCATGTACAAAAACGTTTTTTAGCCTAGGCGTACTACAACGTATACCAATTTACACCAAACTTATCCATAGCCTGTTTCAACGTTGCCGGCGTTTTGGCAAAAATTCCCATACGTTGCCATACGTGACTGCTATACGTTGTAGCGCGACAGGGCCATTAACGCTGCACTCAGAAATATTCCAGCAATATGACGACTGTCTGTAAATAATTGAGTCTGGACCTGACAATCCAGTGATTGACATCATAAGCAGGGATCCACGCAATTGGGATACCATGACATGCATCAACCGAGTCAACGAGCCTGACCACCCGATCTTATTAGTCGCTTCTTGTGACAAGCAAAGTCGCCTTTTATGGCAAGCATGGGTTGCTGAAGACCTATTCTACCCCGGATCTTCAAGGGTCTCAATACAAAGGAACGTGCAGACTTCATTTTCATGTGGCAGGGCTGTTTTTTCTCGGAGAATGAACTTTGAATATTGTAATAAAAACCACAATTCTACATTTTGTAACCTAAATTTGTATGTATTGTTATTTGTAAATGCATACCATCAATGACTGAGAAAGATGACGTTTCCATAAATATTTGTTTATCAAATTTTACATATGAATCGTTGTCGTTGTTCGTGACTTACATAAGCACCATGGTACCTACGTTCAGAACATTGGCTCCTGCCCCGGGCAACGAGCTTTGACTGGAACTTATTTTTCGGTAAATGGATGTTTCCAACAGAAATGAATGGCTCATTTGTTTTTCTTCCACGCCTAAGGCCTAAATGCATATATATGCATATTCTGCCGTACTTTTCAACAATTTCGATGTATTTTATTTTGTTAAAGGGTAGGCGTACGGGTGAAAATGATAAATAGAACTCACTTGTTGAGTTTTTGTTATATGGGCAATACCAACCGAGTCTTGGTTAATCATTATTCGCCTTGCCATTGGCTCGGCAAAATTAATTAACTAACACTTTGTTGATGATTTCAATATTTAATAAAAAATATATGTCTTTACACAGAATTTAACCTAGATCCTTTCAATCTCCCAGGTTATGCAGGAGGAAGCCATTACACGGCCAAGGGTGGACCAGGGACAACTCTGTGCCTTCCAGATTCTCCGATCTACGCCAAACATACTACAGCAGACACTTACAGTCAACTCTATGGGACTGAGTATGAAACTCTTGCAGCAACAGGACCTCTGCACAACATGTTTCAACACGATGTTCCTTGTGTGGTGTGCCGCAGTCGTCGCAGGAGGAGTGCTGTCATGGTCCCTGCCAGGAATGCGTGCTTCCCTCAGTGGCATCTGGAATACAAGGGGTACCTCTTCGGGGGAGCCACTAGACACTCAGGGTCAAGTGATTACGTGTGTGTAGATGAAGACCCAGAATCCATAAAGGGAGGCCATGCAAACAAAGACGAACATCTCCTGTACCTGGTCGAGTCTATCTGTGGGTCCCTGCCATGTCCACCATATGTTAATGGCTGGGAGATGACCTGTGCTGTCTGTACAAAATAAATATATATAGTCCATGTGGACCATACCATCTGTCAAATATGTACATTAACTGTGTCTTACATACATCCGATAAACACATTCGGTTTTCATATCCATATAAACTGTGTATATAAGTTTACTGAGTTGCATGTGGCACAAAAAGTAGCGTTTGAAATGATTGTCTCATTGTGTAAGGACAGACGGACCATGTTGACCTGTCAGGCTGGAGTGAGTGAGTTTGGTTGTCTCATTGTATAAGGATAGACCACGTTGACACGTTGCCGTTTAGTTATTGCTGCCTGGAGGTCCAAGCTGCAAGTTATCTCCACTGAGGAACTTCAGGTCAGTGTCATTACACAAGGCCATTCACATGCATGTTTTCCTGATTGATAGAGGTCCAACATTGCAGCATATCATCTGAATCGATCAGTCACATAGTGGTTTATACCATACCGTTACATTAACAAATACTGTATACGGAGTATCAAGACAACTGACGTAATATAAAACCATGATGAAAAAAACTTGTAGCTGTACGTTTCCTTTCTGGACAGAAGACTGGTTCAAATTTGCAGTATGTAATCAAACCATGTTTCATTGATTACACAAGTACCTCAAAGTAACACTAAATGAAGTGTGTATTTATTGTTCTCTTGCCCAAAATAAAGATCCATCCTGAATGTTTTGTGTGGTCTAAACTTGACACTAAATGACAAAACCACAGTTTTATTAACCAGTCTGTTTTAATGAAGATAGTTTGGATGTTTATTATATACGTTGTCAGTGGCTACAAACCACTAAAAAACCTTCAACTGATGTGAAATGAATTGTGTCGTAACACAACAGACATAATGACGTGAATTCAAAACTATGGATAGCTACAAACTCTGTGAGAATAGATACTGCTCTTATCACAGTTGGTGTCTGAACACAGAAATGTGTAATGAACACAGCTTGTGATATAAACCATCAGCTACAGTAGTTCACTGCTGTTCAGTATACTGGGTTACTTGTTTGCTAAAATGGTTCCTCATTGAGAGCCATAAATTATGTGTCGTTTTACTTTAAAGCCCCACCCTGACTATAAATAGCCCGCAAGGTGGCGGTGTTTCAGTTTCGAACAATGACTGACAATGTAAACACAACCATGTGTCGGGAGAAGCTTTTTGAAAACCATATGGGAATAACTTGTTTGATAGGCATTACTTAGAAGTTGGCGGATGACAAGATAGACACAATTTTATGGATAACAACTTCTTTAATACTGTAAAAAGCGACGTTTCGGTATAGATCCTTATACCGTTGTCAAGCAAGACAACGGTATAAGGATCTATACCGAAACGTCGCTTTTTACAGTATTAAAGAAGTTGTTATCCATAAAATTGTGTCTATCTTGTCATATGGGAATAAGATCACCATTGACCGTCACACTTCGTATCAGCATGGATGACAAACCATGGATACAACAAATGGCTCCATATCTAGATATAAGTCAATAAATTTCTGTACTTTTATCATAAAAAATCGAATCGATCGTGTTTGGCGTCTGCATCAATCACAGTTGGCGGAGCTTATTTACGGTTGCGCTATAAATAGCAAAGCACATGGTCATGTGTACATGTGACACATTCAATGTATTTGTGGTCAAAGTGCATTGTGTTGTATATTTTTACAGCAGAACAGCAGCAGAACATCGGTTTCGGTTAATGTAACAGTAACAATACTTAAATACGAATTTGACGACACGATTCTTTCAGTTCAATCCGAAAATTACAGATATGTGTTTAGTTTTGGTCATTTGCATTCAACAGTTAGATCTGTGCCACACAATAATCACAATAATGTTATATTTATAAAACGTAAATTATTACACAGAATTTTCAACTAGTGTTTAGGAAGGGGTCAAATTTGAAGCGCCAGAGGTTGCGCCAATATTTCTAGATCTCTAGATCTCTTGGTTACAATAGATGAATATGTCACGTTTATCAACATAAAATGCACATAAGCAACTCGTAAATAAGTAACGAAATATACTTGATGTTTTGACCTACAAAAGGCGTATCCAGATAATATTGTACTTACGATAAACGAAAACGCCAATACACATATTCCAAGACAACTTTAATTATGAATTTCCTTTTCCTTCACAGATATTTCACACACAAAATTGAATTTGATCATCAGATCCACACTTGTCCCATGTATTTTTGTTCGGGGTATTTGGATAGACTTCGTGCACAAGTTTTAAAATACAATCTGGGATCCCTTTCCCGTTTTGTCCACAACAATCCTTTATCTGCTGCAACGTATCTGTGATCGCTCCAAACACTTCGTTTATTTAGCTCAGTCCAGAAGCAATGTGTTCAAATCGACGAATTTCTGCAACATGGTGGCCGCACCATTCCCTAACTGCGAATGCCTGTGTCGTGTCACGCATGGTTGACAAAAGAAGTGTGAACATACATATTCGGCTTCATCTGGTTCAACAATGAAATCTCGCTGTGACACTGATTCACTACTCCAAAGAATGGGCACTGAATTTGTCAAAGTTTCTGTTGCACTTGCAAGGGCGGGAAGAGAGGCGCCATCTCCTCGATTCGAGTTGTGAATCGGAATGATGTCATCTTGAAGTGGAACTTTCTCCACGATAAAGTCACCAATGTCATAACCGAAATGACCAAAGGCTCCCTGATTATCTCGAACAACTCTTCGTCAAATTAGGATTTACATGAAAATGTTTTGTTGCTCATATTGAAGACAAGCGAAATTGCAAAGTTCTTGACAGTTGTAAGCAGCAACTTGATGCGCTCATGGAGCGTTGTTGCTAGGAGATCCTGTGGGCAGAAAGGGGAAAACAAAAAGTTTTAGAAATTTTTAAAAGAAATCCACAGTGCAATCCAAAAGTATCATGTACAGGATATTTTGTAATGATAATATTTTCTAAAAGTGCAAATTAATTTATTAATTCAACCTAAGGTCGTAACCCTGATCACGTGGTGGGTATTTGGAAGGATTCTTGTGATGACGCCGTGAATTAGGCCGTGTGTATTACATTGTTGAATTCATCTGACCAGGAAGATTGTTGAGGCACATTATGACAGATGCTCGTCATGGGTCGATAAAAAAATGTATCTTAGAGAAAAATTGTTGCTTTGAGCTTCGAGACAAAACATGTGTTCATGCCAAAGTAGTTTACAAGAGAGAATGATCTTTGCAGCCAGCGACCTGAATAAGCTCGATGAAAAATAATGTTGAAATCCATTTTCTTGCACACGACAGAATTAATGTGAACAAATATTAATTGAACATCGTTTCGAAGTCTGTGAGGCTGTCCGTATTTTAATATTTTTATTTCCATTCCGACGTGAAATAATTTAACGTTTTCGTGTCTTAGTTTTGCTGCTGCTGTGGAAAATTGCGCACCAATCTAATAAAAGAAATGCTACTAGATCTACCATTGCACCGTCACAAGAGAACCAGGTCAATTTTATCTTTGTTCCGTTGTTTATTAAAAATTCGCTTCCGTAGAAAAGCGAATCGATCTACATCATATATTAATTCATAGACTAGATTCTAGTACCAAGTGTTTAAACGTTTTTTGATAGATATTTATTACCATTAAAACTTACGTCCTTGTTGTCAAACGGTCCACGTGGGTGGGTGTTTACATGACATCACCCGTTTACGCATTAACCAATGAAAATCCGTGTGTTATCATGATGTCATATTGACCTGTCAGATCACTCGTATAAGCTCCGCACACTAGAGTGCGGTAGTTCCTACCGCAGATGCCCCTGTAAGGCAAGGGACGTACGTACTCAGTGATCCATAATCAGGCGACCCAGCCTAAAAGGCAAAAACCCTATTGTTTATCGTTCTGTTTATTAGTGATCCAAGCCTAAAAGTCAAGAGCACTATTGTACTCGTTCTGTTTATTAGTGATCCATGCCCAACAGGCAAGAGCCCTATTATTTATCATTCTGTTGATTTGTGATCCAAGCCTAAAAGTCAAGAGCCCTATTATCTATCATTCTGTTTATTTGTGATCCAAGCCTAAAAGTCAAGAGCACTATTGTACTCGTTCTGTTTAAGAGCCCTATTGTAATCGTTCTGTTTACTAGTGATCCAAGCCTAAAAGGCAAGAGCACTATTGTACTTGTTCTGTTTATCATTTATTTCTATTTATTATTCCGCCGTTTGTTTTGTACAAGAGATAACTCAACAACCAGTGGACAGAATCTCTCCCACAAAATCATCAGCATCTGTGTTCATGTGAAGCAGATAACAGAAAGATCCCAAGGCTCTAGGCCTCATGTCCAGTGGCAGATAATTCAAACATAATTAACTAAAAGCAACTCTCACAGAAACCGATAGTTTGATGACTTTTAAAGCTGCCATCCGGCAGCAGCATCATATGCTCATCAATTTCCTCTAGACGTCCCATGTCGCCAAATGACATCAAACTCATCACGTAAAGTTGTTGCAGACTTTACTCGATATATTGCTACTGGCTACTGAACAATTTTTGTTCTTGGTCTCATGTCAAAAGTCACGTGACATGGTAGCCGAATTGAAATGAATTTGTGGAGAGCACATTTGTCATTTTCCCTCGCACATCTTTCCCTACAACTAGATCTGAATCTGTCATGGTCAGCTGCAGTACTTTAACGTTTACAGATATCCTCTCTATGTTGATGACTGCAGCTATTGGTTCTGACTGTGTTTTTATATCTTGATATCATGGATATACTATCTTTGGTAAATTGTATCATTGAGTTTGTTTTAAAAATTCGTCTCTTAATTGCTTAATCAACGAAACGATTGCACGATGTATCAACTTTGTATGTTGAATATTTCTTGTTCTTGGATGCATGTCAAAATGTTATTTATTTAGCAGCCATATTGGATTCTAGTAGTTTCTAATTAGGCTAATTTTCAAAGGATCTATCTGCCCAGGTTCTTTTGAAAATCACTGCAAATGGGCATGATGTATCATCAACAGATGCGGAAGATTTAGTGTTCTTAGTTGTTTGTCAAT